CACACACACACACACACACACACACACACACACACACACACACACACACACACACACACACACACACACACACACACAGGAAGGACTTGCTTTACAGGAGCACGGGATGGGGCACATCATGAGACAAGCGTTAGCACCTGGGGAATCTGGCTGACGCATCCGCAGGCGTTCTGCACACTGTTCTCCCAATGTATCCGTAAGTTAAAAATTATCTCAAAATAAAAAGTTAGAGATTAAGAGACACACATCCTCCCTTTCTTCTCCAGCGCCACCCCACCCATCACCTGCTGTCCTGTGTCTCCACGTCCTGCTGCTAGATTCTCCAGCACTCTCACGGCCTCCTCCCCACTCTGCAGAGGATACATCTGCACCCAGGCCTGCAGCTCCCCGGGCAGGACGGCCAGGAACTGCTCCAGCACCAGCAGCTCCAGGATCTGCTCCTTGCTGTGCATTTCTGGCCGCAACCACTGACGGCAGAGCTCCCGGAGTTGAGCCAAAGCCTCCCGGGGCCCAGGAGCCTGTTGGTAGCAGAACTGCCGGAACTGCAGTCGGCAGAGTTCCTGAGTGCGGGAGCTCTGCTCCTGTGAGCCATACGCCTGCTCGCAGGTGGTGTCTTCTATCTTCACTTTCAGGATACTGTGTTCATTTTCAGAAATGGAGCCCGGCAAACCTTCATACATGTTGAGCTTAGAAGCTAGAGAAAAGGTCACTTGGCTGAGTTCTATACTTCAGAAATGTTTTTTCCAAATGTTCATCTAAAGCATAAGAATTGAGGCACAATATTCAAATCACAGAGCTCCAAAGCTGTATGTAATACATTTTTGTCCCCAGTACAGGTCACACTCAAAAGCTGAGCCTGCTTGCCTCTACTGTACACGCACTGAATCAGAGGTACATTGTGATTATGAAGAGGCTAAACCCAGAGGTAAGGGAGGTAGGATACGAGGGGAGAAGGGTTAACAGGAAGAATGCTTGAGCAGGGAATGTAATCCCAGCACTTGGGTAGATAGTGAGTTCAAGGTCAGCCTACTACACAGTGAGATGCTATCTCAAAAAAATCCAAACTCAAATCTTTATCTGGCTCCACTTCGCCTTTCACACTCTGACCAACATCTTACTTTGTTTCTTGTTTGGTTTTCAGTACCAGTGGATGAACTCAGGCAGGGCCTTCCCACTGAGCTATCTCCTATTTCCTTTTGTGAGACAAAGTCTCACTGAGTTATCCAGACTGGGCTCAAACTTGTGAACCTCCTGCGTCAGCCTTACATAATGCTGGGATTCCAGGCTGCGCCACCACACTTAGCTCTGACTCCTATCCTGAAACATCACCAGGATGCTTCCAGGTGTAGGCCTGTCCTGCACCATAATTTGAACAAATCCCAACTGAACCATATAGTCCATTAAAGCTCCACTCAGTCTGTATCTCTCCATTTCTAATGATGGCACCATCTTCCATGCATCAGGTTTAATACCAGACCCCAATTTAATTTAATTATCTCTGAATACAGATAATTCCACAGAATCCCTAAGCTATTCCTCTCTTTTAATTTCCTTATCACTGTTCCATTCACTGTAAAAACACTTTTCTATGTGGTATTCCTTGAATACCTATTCTATCGTTGGATTAATAGTTTCTAAAGCACAATTCTGGACACATCCAACATACCTCCTGTTATATTGTGAAATATGTGTTGGTACTTGTCCCTGTTTTCTCACATACAACTCTTAAAATCTTTGAAATCTTCAAATAAGTGTCTGCTTAGGTGGTTTCAGGCCAGGATCTGGTCACCTAAAGGAACAAAGCAGGATTACAGGGTTGGGACTTTCAGGTCCTCCTTACAACCTCCTGGGAGGAGGGAGGAACTGAAAATTAAGTTGACGACCAACAGATAATAATTTAATTGATCATACCTAGTAACAAAGCCTACATAAAATCCCCAAAAAAGTGTTTATGAAGCTTCTAGATAGCTAGATGTGCAAAGTTCCTGATGGCTGGTGTGTGCACAAGGCATAGAAGCTCTTTGTGCCTTAACCTCTGTCCTACACAACTCTTCATCTGTATCCTCTGTAATATCCTTAATAATACACCAGTAAACATAAAGCTTTCCCCTGTGTTCTGTGAGCTCAAGTAGGAGGCAGTAGGAACAGTCAGCCAGTCAGAAGCACAGCTAAAACAATCTGGGGCTTCTGACTGACAAGAGAGGGATAGTTTCCTGAGACTGAGCCCTTGAACTGTAGGATATAACCGGACTGAACAAGGGGATACCCTGTAAAGAATGTTTCATGCAGTTAGCTTATAAATAAGGCAGCTAGCTAGGGGAAGGGCCTGAGATAGAGTTGGGTGACCAACCATATTGATAAAAATTAAAATAAGAATAGACAGTCCACTTGGACTTTGGATCAAGGACAAACTTCCTCAGGCAACCTGGAATGCAGCCCACACCCTACAAAAGGGAGGTATAGCCACTCTCTACAAAGCTCCTGAGTTTTGAGGAATTTAAAATGAAAAATAATCAGTTTGTTCTCTAAAATCTCAGTTTCCTTTAAACCCTGTATGCTTAGGAACTGGGTTAGAAGCCCAAGTTTCAATTAGTCATTTTAAGTCCACAAAGCCACCCACACTGATTAGGTGGCCAGTAAACAACTGAGCATTTCCTGAGTTCTGCTTACCTACAATTAGGTCTGGACTGAAGGTAATGAGGCCACTCAGGACCCTCCTGAAAACCTAGGAGCTAGTCTTAATTCCAACACAACTTTCCTGATTTCCATCTTTGGTTCCTGACTTCATTCTAAGGTAGCATAGAAGAAATAAAGCTGGGTAGAAAGGAAAAAAAGAAATCAAGATATTTTAAATTTTACTTTAAAGAAAAACTGCAGCCTCAGAACACAAGCCTGATTTATTCACAATTTTTTTCCTTCTCCCCAAACAGCTAACCTGGGCAACTCCCTTTCAGTTGCAAAGGGGTCTCTTCCTTTTTATTTGGAAATGGAACTTTTTAGCCATGAACAGACCACCCTTTTGACATTTTCCATAGGCATAGACAGACCACTATCTCACTAGGGGTGGACCATCCTCTCTGACCCACTAAGACTAAGACTAAAACTAAAACTAAGACCAAGACTACAGATAATCGAATTCCATAGATTTCCACCTAAAACATAAAACAAATAAAAGCTCCCAATTGTGCTGTGCCTTACTGAGCACTTGAATTCCACTCTTGAGTGCATCCTATCCTTATTATTCCTCTTTTACTGATGCGTCCTGAAAATCCTTTATCCATGACAGGAGTCAGCAAATCTGCCTACTTATTTTAAAGGGATGGGTTAAATTCCTTATTTCCGCCTCAGGGACTCTCGGACCTAGCCCATGACAGCGACAATTCCTCGATGTGGTGTGACCGCGAACTGAGCACATCGTACTTCTAACAGGCTGGGAGTTATTTTCCCTGCCAAAACCCATTAACTGCTTGCCTGGGAGCGCGGGGGTGGGGATCGCTACACCTACTGAGGACATAAGTCTTGTACATTCACTGTTGTGGTGTGAGAGCAGAGAAACTTTTCAAAAAAATAAGTTTCAAATACTCCATGAATTACATTCAAACTCCTCGGGATCTGCGCTTTACTGGGTTGTACTGGTTTGTCACTCGATTTACTGAGGACCTCATTATTTTCGAGGACTAAAGCTAGATCTGGAAGAAAAGGTAGAGTTCTTCCCTTCAAGAAAACCATGGTCTTACCAAATTCCTGGAGTCACTGCCATGTTGACTACTCAAATTCTTCCCACCCACTTTTCACGCCCAGGATCATCCTTCTAATGTAAAGTCCCACGCCCCAGCCCCGAGCCTGATGTGCGCATGGGGAAAGTGTGCTGACCTCGCCACCATCGCGGCAAACTGCACCCACCTCCCTCGCTGTCCGCGTTGCTGTCCGCGTTCCGCAACAGAGACCGCTGGCCTCCCGCAGCCCGCGGAGAGCTCTTCCAGGACGCCCGGCCGGCGCGCCTGGTACTCTGCGGACACTGCTGGACTTCTCGCGGGCTTCAGGTGCCTGTGCAGAGACGCCGGGGACCGGGACTCAAACCGGAGAGCGCTTCCCGGCGCGGGGCTCAGAGCGAGGCGTTTCCTGTGAGGGAGAAGGCGGTAGACGCACTTCCTACTCCTGGCTGGGTTCGGAAGGGCCCTTCCTGCGCCGGAGCTGGACGCCATTCCTCTCGCCGGGCCTCCAGCCCTACGGTTTCCGGCGGCTCCCGTGCCTCTCTAGCCGCGCGGCCCTCGTCTCGGTGGCGCGCCGGGAGGAGCCCGCTGCCCCGCCTCTGGCCTGGGCCCGTTCCGCGGCCCGCTCACATCCGTATTTCTGTGAATCATTTCAGCTAAAAACTAGCAGGATGGGAAGACAAAGATAAATCTGCTGGAGTCCTCATGGGCTGGAATAAGAGCTAGGATAATTAAAATAACGCAAAAGGAGTAAATTATTTTATGTACACAGATTGCACACACACAAGGAAAACTCAGGTCACATGGAGACAGTGTTTCCTGGGAGGTGACCACGGTTAATACGTATTTTTACTATCTCCCTAGGGTGCTACCACATAATAGCACTCAAACTTCTCAGTTAGCCAATAGTATGTGTCTATGTATTTTAAACCACCAATGCTTAACTCCCCTACTGCAGTGTATTTGTTGTACCCCTCCCCGTGCTGGGAATTGAACCAGGGCCTTCACACACCCTAGCCCTCTCACCCTTTTTGAGACAGGTTTAGCTTAAGTTGCTAAACTTGAGATCTTTCTGTCTCAGCCACCAGAATGCTGAGGTTACAGCATGTGTCGTTATGCACCGCTGTATTTTTCTTTATAATTAATACTGCACGGAACACCATTCAATCTCTCTATTCTTTTATATTTGTTTGATAAATATGACATATTAGAACTGTCAAAAGACATGTATTTAAAATTTGATAGCTCCCTATTTACAATATTTTTAAGGGCATTGCTGCTTAAGAGGAGACTGTCAGGAAAGGAGGCTACTCACAAAATCAGAACTGTAAATGATTAGCACATAAGGAGATGTTCAATTCACTAGCAAAAATAGGAAACATCTTTAAAACTAGGCCAATGGTTTTGTTTGTTGTGGTACAGGGCCATGTTGCTGTTGAGCTACATCCCGTTATTTTTATTTTTTGAGTCAGGGTCACACTAAATTGCCAGGCCAGGCTTGAACTCTGACCCTCCTGCCCCAGCCTCCCAAATAGATGAGATTATAGGTGCGACACTGTGCTGGCAAAAACTGGCCCAGTTTAATTATTCCTTCAAATGCAGAAGGACATCCAGCTTTCTTCTAAGTTTTGGCAGTTATGACTATGCTTTAAACGTCCTTCCTGCCTTCCTTCCCTAAGTTTTGGCCAGAGATACATGCGTTGGGAAGGCAGCTGAGTGCTGACAGAATTGGGAGAAACCTCTTTGTCCTGCTGTTTTCCACATTTTACATGTGATGTCTGAAACTTCAGCAGCCATCAAGTATCATGTAAGGGTCTTAAAACTGCTGGCATGGACCAGGATGGTGGAGCAAAATGGCAGAAGACTCAGACCCTAGTGATACCAGGGAACCATCTTATCATTCCTGGCCTGATCATCTCCAACTTTTTCTATTAGAGGAAAAAGCTTTACAAAGTCTCTCCTGCTTTCTTAAATTACATGCAGCTGAACTTCTAATCACTATGAGGGTTCAGCCTTCTTCCCACATTGGCAGATTGAGAAAACGTCTTCAGGGCGTAGTACCTCATGCAGCTACTACCAACTAGTAAGCCATGTTTACCTTCCATATGTGCTTGGGAGCCGACTCCTCTAACCATAATCCTTTTTTTTTGGTACCAGGGATTGAACTCAGGACCTTGTGCTTGTGAGGCAGGCAGCAGAACCACTGAGCTAAATCCCTGGCCGATAACCATAATACTCTTAATCATTAAGAGTTACTTATACAGAGATAGTGACCTCCTCTAAAAGGTGACTTTATTGCTGACGTTCAGTAATTTCCAAAACAAGCAACATTCAAAAACTGCATCTCCAATATTAAAAAGAAGAAGTCTGATTTCTTTCACTGGACATTTATTGAAGAGAATCTATCCAGCAGTCACTGTACCAGCACTGGAGTTATCAAGTAAGACAGTTGCTACTTGGATTATTCCAGCACAGTTCAATCAAATGACTCATGGAATTTCTTCCATAGTCTAAGTAAAACTCTGATTTGTGACATGAACCAATGAGATGTGGTGGGGATGGGGATGGGGATGGAGAACGTAAAGTGACATGAGGACAAGTACTACAGTCAACCACAAAAGTTCTTTGCTTTCTAAAATGCTTCCATTGGTTATGCATGGGGAGTATGGAGGTAAGGCCAGCAGAAAGGAGGAGGTAAAGCCAATGGAGAAAATGAGTCTGTTGCCATGGTATCTAAAATACCACCCTGCCCTTGTTTTCCATCAGTGTCTAAACCTGCGGACACCTGACTGGCTGCTATTCTCAAAGGCCTCAATGAGTCACAGGCTACATGGAGATACACAACCATGCAATTATCACATTAGAGCCTCTTCGAAGTCCTGTAGTGAAGACTGCTGTTTTGCTTTGCTCACACAGTGCTGTGTACTGCAGTACTAGGCCAGCTTCAAGGAACACAGAGGAGGGGAAAGGGAAGCAAATGGCTTCCAACTTGGCCCTGGAGCATTCTCCAACACTAGTTGGCCAGACTTCTTCTGGCATGTTCTTTGCTTCTCTGTGTTCCTTCTAATGTTCTACACAGAGAAAACATTCATCAAGCCAGTCTGCCTCTGTGGTGATGTCTCTGATGCTGAAAGAGACCTGACTTCTGCCGGAAGGCGTCTCCACACTCGGTACACTTGTAGGGCTTTTCTTCGTTATGGATTCTTATGTGTTGATCCAGGTGTGAGTTTAGTCGGAAGGCTTTCTGGCATACTTTACACTTGAACGGTTTTTCTCCAGTGTGAATCCTGTGATGCCGAATGAGGTCTGAGGTCAAGCTGAAGGCTTTGCCACACTCATTACACCGGTGACTTTTGGAGTGACTGTGGATTCTCTGATGGTGGGTGAGGAGCAGGGCTTGACTAAAGGTTTTCCCACACTCCTTGCACTCGCAGGGTTCCTCCTGACTGTGAATTCTGTGGTGTCGATTAAGGTGAGAGCTTCGCCTGAAGTTCTTTCCACAATGGATGCATAGAAAAGGTTTCTCTCCAGTATGGATTCTGAGATGTTCCAAAAGGCCTGCGTTCTGACTGAAGACTTTCCCACACTCTTTGCACTGATACGGCTTCTCACCAAGGTGGATTTTCTGATGTCTGACAAGGTGTGAACTCCTCTGAAAGACTTTACCACACTCATGGCACTGGTGGCCTTTCTCTTTCAAGTGGGATTTCTGATGTCCGGGAAGTGCAGAACTTTGACACACTTCCGAGTCACAGAGCTTTCCTTCTGGCCGAGTGCTTCTGAATTCAGTCAAGTCTGAGTCCTGGGGCTTGCCTGGCTGCCTTTCCAAGTTGGAGTCCTCATACTGAGCCTCTCTGGGGTCAGCCTCCTTCCTGGATGACTCCTCTGTTCCACAAGGGTCTGTCATTACCAGCTTGCCATTCCCAATATGTATCTCCTCATCTGAAACATTAAATGTGTATCACTAATTACTTGGGGTTTTGGGGCTTGGGGAAGGAATCTGCTAGGAGAAAAAAAAATTTAAATAAGGTATGCAAAGTAAAACTACTGTAGTTTCTTGCTTTATAACACATACATGGAATTATACACAAGACACTGTTAACAGTGACTGCTTGGGGGAGGATTAGGGAGTTGTGCTTGGTGCTGACTTATTTTCATCCTTTCTTTTCTTTGAGACAATGTTTCACTATGTAGATATCAGGTTGGTCTTGAATTCACTATGTAGCCCAGGCTGGCCTCGAACTCACAGCAGTCCTCCTGCCTTAGCCTCCCAAGTGCTGGATTATAGGCAGGTGCCACCATGTCCGGCTCTGACTTATTTTCAGTGGTTTAAATTTTACCATATGATACACAACACCCACAGAAGAGCTCTAGGCAAGCAAATGAACTGTATTAAATGGCATGACTATAATTTTTGAAAATAGTTTGTCACATGGAAAATAAAAAGCTAAGGCCATTGAGGACCCTTGGGCTATTAAGAAGGCACTTTAAGAATGGAAAAATGTAGACACAGTAACAGCTTTATCGACTACTGGCATCCATGTGATCCTAGAGAAGTAACAAGTCCTCTGGACTCAGTGTTTTCATCAGTGTATCTAAAGTCTGGGGCGAAAAGACCTTGAGGGCAGCATGTTCACAGAGATGCCTTGGCCTTTTCCTGACCCTTCCTGTGTGGACCAAGAGACGTTTTCCCTTTCAATGCTGTAACAATTTGTTCCTATGTCTGTCTCCCCCAGCACAGCCCTCAAAACCTCAGGACACTGTGAGCATAGGCACAGCAGACTTTATTTTCTCTAGCACGGCTCCTGGTACATACACAAATATAGACATTGAACAACTGTTTGATGAGTAAATGGCTTACATTTGAAGGGTGAAATTACTTGACAGTGAAGAAAAGCATGCTCAGACACATGTGCAGAAGGGTGAGAAGAATGGACTTCTGGGTTAAGTCTTTTAAGGCCCAAAGCACAACAGGGATGCACTGTAAGAATGAGAAAGCAATAGGGAAGTGGGAAGACAAACCAGACGAGGAGACTCTAATATACTAATAATCAGTATGAGCAAGGCAGACACCGCAGATAATCAGAGTAGATGAGCGCCACAAGTAAAAGTGAAGAAGTTAGCAAGGTGACGTCAGAGAAAGTCAAGTCACATGTGAGGGAAAGTGAGGTCAAGGAACACAGACAATGAATGTACTGTGTGTGGGTGAGGTCCCCTGCAATGGAAAGCAGAAATCCACAACGGCAGAGTGAGAGACCAAGGAAAAGGAACGAAAGAATCTTTTCCAGAAATGACATAGAACTAAAAGGAAGGAGAAACATTAAACTCAAAAATAACCTGGACTTGGAATATAAAGTAACATTTTCACCAGGTGCACAGGGCAAGGAACAGTCTCAAGAACCACTGCTATTACATTCACTCTGCACAGCTGTTCAGTGAAGGCAGGCCTGCTTTTTGGCAGCCACTTGGCTCAGAAGACTCCCCAGATAGGCAGGCGTCGGAAACAGACTCTCACGCCCAAGGAGGCAGACAGCAGGTAGACAAGGGTGCTACGGCTTGGGTATTAAAAGCCCCCCAAACCCCAGTGTCGAAGGCTTGGTTTGCAGCTGCAGGTGTTACTGGGAGGTGGCAGAAACTTGAGGTGGTGAGGCCTGCTTGGAAGTCACTGGGGGCGTGTCTGGAAAGGCATTCTGTCACTTCTCCGGCCCTGGGCCAACTCCTCCACCAGGTGAGCAGTCCTCCTCTGCCACAGCCTCCACCATGATGTTCTCCCTCACCACAGGCCCAGAAACAAAGGAACCAGATGATCATGGACTGAAAATTCTGAAACCATGAGCTAAAGATAAATAAAGCAGAAGGCTTTCCTCCACCTTTTGGTTGTTTATCTCAGGTATTTCGTCACAGCAACAGAAGTTGACTAACATAAAATTGGTACCAAGTAGTTGTTGCTGTGACTATATCTGACACTGTGGTTCAAAAGCTTTAGATATGCACCCTAGAATGTGGTAAGTGGCGCTTAATGGGCGATTCTGGTGTGCGCTCAGGAATGCAGATGGACACGTCTACTTGTGAAGTTTCACCTAGGAAAGACTTTATCAGGAATTGCACTAGAGGTCATGTGTGTTAAATGCTGACAGAGAACTTGTCTACAATTTGTTCATGCTCTGAGAATTTGTGGAAGGCTGAATTTACAGGTGACACTAATCTATCCAGTGGAGAAAATTTCAAGACAGCACAGCATTCGGCCTGTAGGATGGATACTGCTGTGTGCTTTTAGCCAGATTTATAGTGAGAATCAGGAGCAAAAAAACAAGAGCAAAAATATCTGAAACACTTGCAGTTTAGGTACAAAAGAAGTACATGTAAAATTAAGGCAAAGGAGGGTATGGTTGCTCTTGAGATTAATGCCATGAAAAAGAGGCCAGGCACTTTGAAGCAGGACAATAGGAAAGAGACTTTGACATCATCTGAGGAACTCGCCAGGTCCCACTCATAACAGGCACAAGGTATAAAAATGTAAACTCCCTTGAAAGGCTTTGCTTTGAGCAGAGAGCACTAGGAACCCTGTTCAGACAGAGCCACCTAAGGAAGTATTTCACCAGGATTCATTTCATCAAGCTCAGCCATTCACACACTCAGAAAATACTGAAGCCATAGTCCAAGGGGGCTCAGCTACTGCTTAAGCTGGCTGCAGACCTTAGTGTCATCCATACGATGCTGGTTTTATAGGCATGCAGAATTCAAGAGTTATGAGGTCACAAATGCTTTCAGTTAGATTTCAAAGGAAAGCTTGGGAAGTCAGGCAATGTGTGGCAGGGTCAGAGTCCCTGGCAGGAGCCCTGAAATGGTGATACTCAAGGCTGTGAGAATGAAGCAAAGCTGTAATGGAGATCCCAGGAAGGTGGAGATTCCTGGCTCATGGAAGGTCTACTGAGGAAAGCTGTAGAGCCAACCCAAGAGAACGGTCATGTGTGCTACAACAGGGAGGGCGTAAGGGCAGAGTCGCAGACAAAGATGCTAGACATTGAGCTACAGGATTTCATGTTTGCCCTGCTGGGTTTTGGTCTTACTTTGGCCTCATTCTTTTTTCCAATGCTCCTATTCCTCCCTTTTGGAATGGAAAAGTTTACCCTGTGCCACTGTATTTTTTTTTTTTTTGGTGGCAGGGGGTCGGGGGGTACCAGGGATCGAACTTGGGTCTTTTGCTTGCACAGCAGGTGGTGAAAGCACTGAGCTAAATCCCCGGCCCCTGTGCCACTGTATATTGCAAGTATGTAAATTTGTACAAGGGCTCACAGCTAAGAGTTTGATTTGAGGGCCAGGGATTTAGCTCAGTGGTTCCGGCGCCTGCCTCACAAGCACAAGATCCCAAGTTCGATCCCTGGTACCAAAGAAAAGAGAAAAGAAAAAACAATAATGATTTGAGTCACAGAGACTTTGAGTTTTCACTTTTGAGAGTAATATAGCTTTACAAATAAAATCAGCCATTCATCAGTAGACATTCAGCAGACTCAAGAAACAAAACAAAGCCTTAACTGTCCCAGCTTGGGACAGAAAGATTTCCTAGGATGTGCTAAAGGGCTTGAAAAGATTGGGACAACTGTCTATGCTGGGGAGCATGGGGCTGAGGGTAAGAATGTGTCAGAGCGCACTAGGTGAGGCTTTTGGTAATGGGAACTGGGAGTCACTACACATGGGAACTGTTTTTCTTATTTTTATTTTCTGCTTTTTATTATGGAAGGTTTCAAACATCAAAAAAAGCCAAACCGGGTGTGGTGATACATGCCTGTAATCCTAGCACTTGGGAAGTTGAGGCAGGCGTATCAGAAGTTCAAGGCCAGGGCTAGGAATTTAGCTCAGTGGTTCTGGCGCCTGTAAGCACAAGGGCCCTGTAAGCACAAGGGCCCGAGTTGGATCCCCTCCCCCATACCAAAAGAAGGAAGTTCAAGGCCAGCATGGACTACATAGAGTTCAAGGTTGATCTGGATCAGATAGTAAGACTCTCTCCCAAAAAAGCAAAACACAAAAAAGTGAAAGGACGACAATAAGCTAAACATTAAACGGGATAAACATTAATTACTTTTTGTTTTTTTCTTCATTTTTTGAAACAAGGTCTCACTGTGCAGTTCAGGCTGTCCTCAAACTCACAGTGATCCTTCTGCCTCCACCTCCAGAGAGCTGGGATTACAGGGGTGTGCCACACCTGCGACATGATGGCGAAAGAGCAGGAAGTAACTAAACTTCAGTGGGAGAACCAAAATGATATTAAAGCAGAGAAAGTGAGATCAAGAAGCAGGTGTTACAACTGACTGTAAAGAAGAAAAGAAAAATGTAAGGAATGGAAAGTGAAAAAAGGGCCGGGGATGTAGCTCAGCGGCACCACGCCGGCCTCACAAGTGCAAGGTCCTGAGTTCAATCCCTGGTTCCAAAAAAAAAAAAAAAAAAGAAAGAAAGTAAAAAGACAGATTTCAGTGACAAAATACAAGGGAAAAAAAAATTATATATGTATAAACCAAGTGATCTTTAGAAATAAATAACTGTGCCATTTACAACAATTTGAAGGCGATAAAAAATGAGTAATGAAATATGTGGCTGAGATTCTTTGCCTGTGGTGATAGAGCAGCCCTACTTTTTTTCCTTTTAATTAGTGCATATTAATTATACAGAATATTGGGTTTCACTGTGGTATTTTCATACATGAGTATTATATACTTTGATTATATCCATCCCCTTTAGCACTACTTTTCTTTTTTTAATTCATTCCCACAGTAAAGACAAGTAAAGTGAAAGTCCAGATTCACTTTTCTTTAGTGTTTGTTGAACTAAAAGGTTTAGAGTGATGGATATCTTTCATATTTTGCTTGTGGTGCTGAGGACCATATTCATTTCACATTTGGGGAAACTCATTGACTAGTACGAAGAGTACATTTTTCCTGATGTAAGTTATCCTTCAATAAATCCCCAAGCAAAACACAAAACACCATGTGTGCTTGAGCAGTGCCTCAGAGGGCCACACACAGCCCACCCGACCTCCAGAGGCAGCACAGGGCTTACCCTCCTCCTCCTCAGGCTTTGGACCTTCACACCCAGGCAGGACCTGCTGCGCCTGCACTGCTCTCAGAGGACCTGGTGCTTCCAAAAGCAGGGCCTGCTTCTTGTCCTGGTCTGGGGCCTAGAGTCAAGGAGGTACATGAAGAGAGACACATGTGGGTTCGGGAAATTGTCCTTCAGACAGACACCCAGTGTTAGAAAGGAAACAAAGAGAAACCCCAAAAGGGGAAAAAAAAAAGGACAGGGAACCTGGAGCACCTTCAGCTTCTCCCAGAAGAGGAGAGGTGATGTTGAAGTTAAGACCCAGACTGGAAAGAAACAGAATCAAAGCGTAGCAATTCTCCACCCACTTCCGCACTCATGTCCACATCTGGACAGAAGTTTCAAAAACGTATCTGACCTTTACCTCTTGGTGTCCTTTTCCTCCAAGCTCCAGCTGCAAGTCCTCCAGTACAACCACCAGGTCCTCCCCGCTCTCAGGATGCTTCTCCTGCACCCGGGCCTGCAGCTCTTCAGGCAGGATGGCCAGGAACTGCTCCAGCACCAGCAGCTCCAGGATCTGCTCCTTGCTGTGAGTCTCTGGCTGCAGCCACTGGTGGCAGAGCTCGCGGAGCCGGCGCAGCGCCTCCCGGGGCCCTGCAGTTTCTTCATAGCGCAACTGCCTGAATTGTTTGCACAATGGCTCCTGTCCAAGGCCTTTGCTGTTTCCTTGCAGCTGGAGTCCCTATTCCCAAGTAGAGTAGTTGTAACAGGGACTTAATGGCTGCTTTTGCTAAAAGCACTGAGTCTTTACTTGGGCCGGCCACTGTCTCCTTTGCTACCTCAAACTGTGAGTCTGATACGTGCTCAACTCTACACACAGACATTGCATCATTCAAGGACTGTCTGTCCAAAACCTGGTAATACCAGGTCAATCTGCCCTAAATTTACCCAGCCTCTCTAGGGCCCCTTCAAGGCTAAAAACACTAAGATAAGATTCCAGGAACAGATAGTCTTGAAGGCAGATCATCCCATAATGGGAAATGAGCCTGCCCCCAGCCAGGAGTGGCCTCCCCCAATGGCAATCAAGACTGCCCCCCACCCCAAGGAGGAGTAGTCATCTTCCGATAGGGACCCACAACCCCTCAAACAATAATGATCGGCCTGCTGCTAGCAACATATTGCTACAGAACCAGAACCGAGATAATAATCAACCAGCCCAGTCTGACCCACTGCTTGGGTGTGTATACTTCTTGCCCCCTACGTTTGACCTTGCCCCATGTAATGCCAAAGCTCTTATCAGAGCCTCAAAGACAGGGTTTAGGACTTAAGACCCTGACTGATCTCTGTGTTTCTTCCAAACATGGTCACTCTGAACAATCAATTCCTGACTTGCTTCACCTCCACTGTCTCTCTCTGACTGCTCTCCTGAGGTAGCAGGCAGCCGAATCTGGGTTGTTGGGACCCTCAGAGTCAGGCCGCTGGCCAATCCTCCAGTAACACACTGATCTTCCTTCATGACCAAAGGCTCCCCCTCAGGTTGAGGGAGCCAGGGAGCAGACACTCACCAGCATGGTAGCCATCCCCAGCTCCAGGCTGCTCTCTATGCCCTGGGGAACTTCCTTTTGGCTGTATCCTGAAGGGTGCTCCTAAAAACACAGTAACAAGAATCATACAATAACATAGCAATAACCCCTTCTTAGGTTTTCAAGTTTACTACTCTTCAGTTGCTTTTCTCCAAAACAGCCTTTCTTTCCTAAGCATATAAACCAAATGAGAAAACTGCTACAGAAGACTCTGCTAACACAGCAGGAAGTTTTTAAAAATGAACATTTTATAACCCTCAAAATAAATGATTCAGATAAAGGACCCTAAGTGATTGCTAAAACCACTGGGTGAAGCCAGTGAAAGAACAGGACCTTTTCCATCTCCAGAGCCACCATGCTGACTGTGTGCTAATTACACAGGTGGAAAGGGAGCTTTCTGGGAGCCCCATACTTAACCGAATATGGAAAGCAGCAACACCAGTAAGACAACTGGCATCATGTGCCTCGTCATCTACATAGCATTTTTACTAAAAATGTTCACCATGAGTCCGGTAAAGAGAAATTTTAAGGTAAATCCAGAATGCAATTCATCTACAAGAGACAACAAGATACCACATGTGAATTTTTTTTAAGCCCACAAATTTTTTTTTCAAATATTTTTTGAAGAATTCAGAAATCTGAATGTGATGTACCAGAATGAGGTAGGCAAACTATAGCACAAAGGACCAAACGGCCTGAATCTTGGTTTCACGTTCGTTTACTGTACCACAGCTGCACTAAGTCGCTCAAACAGTGCCACATGGGCTTCTGCACCACGGCCAGGACCGAGTGGTGCCACGCGGAGCACACCGCGCGCAGCGCTGAGAATGTTTACTGTCCGGCCCTTCACAGGAAACGGCGAACAACCCCAGCGGCGAATTTCCTCAGATGAGAAAACAGTTTGTGGTTAAGAAAAAGAATATCCTTATTCTCAGAAGATGCATGTTGAAACTTACTTTCCACGTCTCAGGAAGAATGAACAGTTTGTACTCGTTCTCTTAGTCTGCACACAATCCTATACAGAATTAGCTGCTTTAACCTCACTGTACAGAAGGAATCAGACATGGACAGTTCAAGAATTTACTCAAGGTCCCAAAGACCTCAGCTCTCTCGTGCAATCTCTCTTGCATCTTTGCTTTCTTTTATTTCTGGCCTCCACAACTGATCCAGTAGTAAGAAGAAGAATCTGACCGAACGAACCACACCTACCACATCACAGGCCCAGTGTCTTCAATTCCCAACCTGCTCTCATGGGGACTTCCCAGCTGCACATGCTTCGTCGTAAACCTAAGTCAGATCACGTTTTTCCTCTGCTTAAAGTCCTCCAAAAACTCTCACCAAGGAAAGACCCAAATTCTTACACAGCCTAACCCTTTTCCTACCCCTCGCGCCGAATCTCTCCGGGTCCTGCCCGCAAGGGCCACAGGCCTCGCTGCGCCCCACCCCGGCCCCAGGGCTCCGCTCCGGCCTCGCTGCGCCCCACCCCGGCCCCAGGCCTCCGCTCTCGCGGCTCCTTCACTGCCAAGCCCGTCCCCGCGAGGCCACCCAGGGCTCGCGCCCGCGCAGGTCCACGCTCACCTTCTCGGCGAGGCGAGCCCACCTTTAACACCGACTGCGCAGGACGCCGCCGCGCGCACCCGCAGCCCCTCTCGGGAGGGCCTCTCTGCACCTCCAGAACGGGCCACACCCCAGGCCCGCTGGAGCCCTCACGGCTCCAACTCGAGCCTAAACCCTGCCCGGCGACCCACCTGGGCCCGGAGCGCCAAACACTCCCCAACACCGCCGGCCCCGGCGCGCTTTCCACTCCACTCTAGGAGCCTGGAAGACCGCGACTCGATGGTGCCTGCTTCGGCTTCGGCTTCCTAGGGGGCGTGGTGGCTCCGCCCAGCCAGGCGAGGCTTGCCCCCTGAGCTTGTGTGAGAGATTTTGTTGATGTTCCTGTTTTCATTTTAAACCAGTATTTATTTTATCCACATGAGGTATGTTACACGGGTAGTTAGTAGCAGGCCTCAGGGACAAAAGGGAGGGTTCTCGCTTGAACGCGTAACTCCCTATATTGAAATCAAATTAAATTCCACCTGTATTTCTGCACAGCGAATGTGTCTTTTGGTTTTGTTTTTATTTTTTGAGACGGAGTATCACTGTGTAGTTTAGACTGGTCTTGAACTCACTGTGTAGCTTAGGCGGGCCTCGAACTCGCAGCGCCCTTCCTGCCTCATCCTCCAGAGTGCGCCACCATGCCCAGCTTCTCTTCCTGTTCTTACCAAACATTGTTTTTTTCTTACAAAACTTTTGATCTTTGATAATCTGATAAATTCTAGTGATCTGCATGTTTCCATTAGGTCCATTCATAGGATAGTCAAAATAAGAACTTCCTTTTCCATGTCCGCTGCAGAGGCACCGTTGCATTGTAAGTCATGCCATCAAGCATAAGCTTTTACATCGCTTTTGTAACGATGCTTTCTGAACTCATCACTTTTACCCTCACAACCAGGTCTTACTCATCACTATGAATTTTGAAACAAAATTATATGGCCAGTATTCTGAGCTAAATATATATATGAATCTAATAAGCTTAACCTATTGTTAAATATTGGAAAATAGGTCTTTAAGTCATCATATTAATGGGCTAATAAAAATCATGATTTTCACAAACGCATAAAAGTCATCTAATAAAACTCAACATGCACTTCTGAATGAAAAGGAAAAATTCCAATAAAACAAGTAAATAGATACTTTCTTCATAAAGCAAAAATAAACACACCTCAAACCTAAAGTTTCCCTTATATTTGGTGGTGAAATCTTTACAAGTCTCTCTATAAACATTTAGTTGAACTTGGGTTACACTACGATGGGGATCTTAAGTGTCCCTCTACAACGCCTGTGTTTAAGGCTTCATTGCCAGCCCACCACACTATTAGGATGTGCTCAAACTTTCAGGTCAGGCCCTAATGGAAAAAACTTTGGTCACTGGGGGACCTCCCTTCTCTGCTTTCAATTCCCAGTCATGGGATGAACAGATCTCCTTTGCCATTCATTCCCTGCCAAGAAAAAAAATTTCTTATGCAATTTTTCTTCCATTCCACAACTCATAATCACATATTCTGTGAAAAACTACTTCAAAGGAAAAGTTATATTTTTATTAAGTTCCCTAAGACAAAGATGAGACACAAATTACAATTTTCAAAATTTCTTTTAAGGCAGATTTACTGACCAGACCCGTCTCCAAATTAAGCATAAGTACCACAGAAGAGCTATTGTGAATAGTCTCTGTAGGTATTACATGTACTATTTCTTGCACTGTGTTCTGGGGGTGGGGGAAAGAAAACGGCCAATCTTACCTTAGCTTACTTAGAAACCATGGTTTCTCAGCTGCACATTTCCCCCAAGAAATACAAAGACATTTGTTTGGGTAATATTGAGGAGTATTTTTAGGCTTTATGGGGCGATATGATTTTTTTATTATCTGAAGTGTTTATGATCAATAAGAAAAAACCTTATAGAAGCATTGATAAAAGTTATAATGTGAGTAACTCACAATTTAAAAATTGCAAAACACTCATAAGTACACAAAGGACACTCTATCTTAAAGAAATAAAGGTAATGGAATGCCTTTTCACCTACTGTATTAACAAAGACAAAAAGCCTTTTGAAAGGACAATATTGGTGATCCTACTGATCTGTATACTGGTACTTCGTATTTTATTAGAAAGTAGTGTTGCAACATCAAAATTTAAAAGCATGAAGAGCTTAAATGTGACATTCTTAGACTCTGACAATCATATAAAAACTTCTTATACATCTGTCATATTTTCCTCGTTACATTTTATAAGTTGTAATTACTTAAATTTTTAGAGTCTATCTTTGATAGAGTTCTCTGCTAGATAAAATAGCCCCAACAACCCTGCATCCTAAAATGGGCCCTGCCTATGGGAAACAAGTCACTCCAGAGAGAACAAAGACCTGCTCTTTCCCACCACGGCCCCGGTCACAGCCAATCATCTGCCTCCACCACACTCCCCAAGCCCTTGTGAACCTCACCCAGCCAACCCCTGGTTGCTGTTCTCACCACTGTTTGACACAGCCCGCAACTCTGTCCCTTAATAAAACCCTGCTTTGGGTGTTTGTGTTTCAGCTCGTTTTATTTCTTTCAATCTTCCCCAGCAGAATTACATTTCTATGATGGCAGGGATCAAGACGATCTTGTTCTTGGCCAGGGATTTAGCTCAGTGGTTCTGCCGCCTGCCTCGAAAGCACAAGGTCGTGAGTTTGATCCCCGGTACCAAAAAAAGAAAAAGACTAATTTGTTCTTTATTTCCAATACCTGCCACAGTGCCTAACACATAGAAAACACCTAATAAATGTTTTCCCCTTGGCCCAGTAATTCTTCTTCAAGGTGATCATTTCTAGATGACTCAGAGGATTCTTTGTGACTAATTCTATTTCAGATGAATACTCACAAAGGTTTTTAAAACAGGGCTGTGTGCCAGCCAAATATAGGACACATCTTAAGTATACAGTAAAATATGGTTCTTTCATACAATGAAATACTATAAAACCATTAGAATGAGACAGATTTCTATGTCCTAATAAAACATCTCCAAGATGCATTGATAAGTGAAAAAAGCTAAGTGTCAATCCTCGTGCATAGTGTGGCATAGTTTGCTTGTTACAATGGAAACATGCAGATGTCACAGTATGGTTTTCTCCAGTGTTCCCCAACCTCTTTTGGGGAAAACTTCAAGATGATGTGGCCCCATGTCAACCATGTGACACACTTGGGCAAAGGTGTCCTTCAACAGCACCATGTCTTACCAGATTCTAGAACCCCACTTCTCAACTTTAGCTCTGTAGGACTTACCACATAGGTTTGAACAGGGGATTATCCAGTGAGATGATGTAGTGTGGTTAGTGTCCAAGTAAGGACACAGGGTCAGTGACTTATCAGGCAGATACCACTAATGAGAACAAAGGCATTACACGGACCTTAAATGGAGCTCACTTTAACACTGTCCCTGGAACCAATGAGCTGGTCTTCCCATGCTAACTCTCCTGTCCATGGAGTGCCTCCTGATCTGGTCTAATATACACCATCTCTAACAGCAAACTCCTGCTTTGTACCTTTGTTCCAAAAATCTTGGAAAGAAATGCGCAGAGACACAGAATTGAGGTAAAATAATAAAATTTCTACTTGCAAGTGGGCGGGACCGCCAGAAACTGGTCTGGTTAGTATCCGCATGCCCCTTTGTTCAGCGTTTCCCTTTTTATATCCTTTCTAGCCATTATCTCATCCCTAGTGGTCTTTGATGTGTAAATACAATTCCAGTTCCTATTTACAAGTCACAGACACAAGATAAGCACATATATGTTGTAAATTCACCCTGGCATTGCAACTTTGTTAGGTTAATGAAGTTACTGGTTAAAGAGACAGACTACCTTCACCTTAAACAAGGAGAGTTATGGGAAAAGCAAATCTTAAAAGAACACATTACTTATTTTGCTTCTACAACTACCTTAATATTCAATCTATTAAGTTATCTAAAACTTTTCCCTATCACCTTCTCATTTTTTCTTTCTCTTCTTAGCCTAGCTGACCCCTAATCTACTCTTTGGAAGACTGTAGCACCGTACACCTTCATTTTTTAAAATCTTGTTTTATGGATAAAGCCCATGCCTTCTTCAATCAGGAGTTGGCTTTGAATAGTCAAAGTCAGCTTTATTCTATAAAATGTGTCCTTGTATATACAGAAAACTATGAACAAATACCAAAAAGAGGTTTGGGGAAGGGAATCAGGGATTGCAGTGGCAGTCACCTTTTACTCTCTCCTGTAATGTTTGCATCTTTTTAAAAACCATGTGCACTATCTCAAAAAGAAGCTTTTTCTTGAGGAACCTGTTAACATAGTAGAAAAGCACAGTGGTCATATAAAACTTCTGTTGTTAAAAAGTCCTGCTGTCTAACAAACACGTCTTTAGTTGTCATCTTTCCCTTTTGTCTTTCTGTACACCATCTCTCGGAAACTGGCTAAAATTTTATCCTCTCTGTTTTGTCTCTCTTCTTGGTTAAAGGATGCAAGGGCTCTCTTCTCATCAGCACTGTAAATCTGGTTCTCTTTACGCAGTCGCACAGCCTCCATTCTTCGATGTCTACTACCACTCATGACATAGCCTGAACACTCCAATGAGGCGATCTCTTCACTTGTCAATCCAATTTCACCTCTTCGTGGGATTCGCTTTCCAGCTTTTACGTACTCTGCCATAGCTGCACCTTCACCTGGAAGCAGAGCATGGCCATAACTTAAAGGCTTCTCATCTTGACAGGTATGTATTATCGGTGTTTCTGGACCTATTAATAAACCCACAGTATCTGCAGTTTTTGACTGCTCAATCCAGGTACTTTCTGGCAACTTCCCTTCTGAAGCTTTACAAGTTGGGTCATTGAGATTTTTCATCCTCTTACTCTTTTTCTTGGGTTTCCTTTTGTGTTTCTTTCTCTTTTCTTTCTTTTTGGCTTTTTTGACTCGCTTTTTATTTTCATCAGAGCTAGAATTACTGTCAGATCCCGAATAACCATCATTATCATAATACTTTCTATGCTTTCTTTTAGAGGGCTTTTTCGTTCTTTTTTTCGGTTTTGAACAACTGGTCCTCTTCCTCTTTTCTTCGGAGCTGGACTCTGAAGCACTGCCCTTCCAGTTCTTTATTTCATCTTTGACCGGAGCATGTTCGTCGGAATCGGGCTCAGGAGGCTCTGGTGACAGCCCCCACACCTCAGGCGCTCCCAGCTCCCCAGCCCGCTCTCGCTCCTTCAGCCTCCGTTGCTGACAGCTCTCCTCCTCTTGCCCGTAGTCTTCCGCCCACCACCAGTCGCCTGCATAGCGGTGGTGGCACCGGTATCTGCCACAGGAGACGGAGCAGGAGTACGAGAGGCTATGGCTGCGCGGCCCTGGGGTCCGCTCTCGGGACCCCGAGTGCCTAACTGCGTGCCATGGGCGGACGCCTGCCCCACCCCACGGAGGCCCTGGGCGGACACCGCCGCCGGAGGGAGGGCTTTCGGTCCACACAGGCGGCGGGGTTCCCGAGGAGCTGCGCCGCTGCCGCCCAGCGCCCCGGGTGCCCTCGGGAGAACGGGAACTGGACATCCGGCCCACGAGCCGCGCTTCGATGGCCAACGTGCGACGGTTGCTCTAAGCAACCACAGGAGCCGAAGTCCGAGGCCAGCCGCCCACGCAGGCGCACTCGAAACGCGCACACGCGGCTTCCGCTTCCCTCCGTTGCCCCGGAAGACCTAGTCGTGAGTAGCGGCGGGCGCCCCCTGGGCTAGGCCGCGTGGTGGCTTTTCGGAGGTGGGCGGAGTGACAGGGACGCGCCCGTTTCCACGATTGACAGCCTCCAGCCTGAGCTGCCTGGAACAGCAGAAGGAGTTTGCCTCCATGAGGCCTGTGCTGTTGAAACAGCGCCTTCTCGGATTTCCGCCCTCCTGTGCCGCCGCTCACTCTGCGTCCCCCATTCTCTGCTGCATTTTATCCTTCCCGCTTGCTGAAGGATCTCTGTTACCTTTGCTCCTCCATTTTTTCCCCGTAAAAACTTGTGGCTATTTCACAATGGAAATACATTTAATTAATGACTTCCTAACCCTGTTTGAGCCTACTGGAAGCAAGTAGCAGAATTTCTTTGGGACTCAAAATGACCTCAGCTTCTGAGTCAAATAAGGACCACACTTAGGATTCTAATTCTTAGATTCTCGGACATTTCCACCCCAAAAACACACACAAGGATCAAACTTAGTCACATAGATGTCTCCCCATCAAGGGATTTTTATTTAGAAATTTGGTAGTTTGTAATCACTCTCTGAACACACTTTAGATCTCACTCTCTATAATGACAAACATTTCATGAAAGATCATTTCCTCTCATCTTGCATGTATATAGGCATTATCACCACTTTTGACCAATTTAGCTAAATTGACATGCTCAGCTGAGACTTTGAAAGTGAAAGATAAATTAAGTCATAACTTAGGAATGATGCTTTTCTGGTTTTAGAATTCCAAATAATAAGATGAGAAAATTAAATTGAATAGTAGCAAAATATGACACTTGATCTAAGTAGAAGTTTAGTAAAGTGAAAGAAGAAGATAAAGCTTAGTGCCCTGTCATACTCCATGATGACTTAGGAACACAAAGAGGGGAGTATTATAAATGGATTCTCATACGTATATTGAAAATATTAAAATAAGGTAAGTGTCATAGATTCTTTGTAAATTAAGAACATTTTCTTTGGATTTATGAATGACTTCATAGACCAATAAAATGGATCTTTTGATGTCACTTAAGATAACGGTAAAATTAATCCATTTAGTATTTGATGGGAAATTCAAATATTAACAAATTGGTGGAATACTTCTTTTGGAAAGCACATGGGAAAATGAATTTTCCAATATATTTTTGTTCATTAAGAAAACTATGAACCTGGAACAGGGGTAGCAAACATTTTCTGGAAAAGGTCAATAGTAAATATTTTATGTTTTGTGAGCCAAGAGGAACCATGGAGGATATTAGCTGGGACAAAATATCCAACACCCATTACTTAAAGGAGGAGAGATTTATTTTGACTCACAGTTCAGAAGTTTCAGTCCATGTTTAGCAGGCATAAACCCAGAAAGAACATGGCAGAAAGGTCTTGGCAGAGGACAGGTGCTCATGTCATTATGGCAAGGAACCAGAAAGAGAGAAGCTATGAGCCTGGTGGGAGAAACATCCTTCCAGGTCACACCTCCAGTGACCTGCATCCTCTAGCCAGGTCCCCCCTCCTAACAGGAAGTCATCTGTAGCACCTGAATAATCCAGTCATCTTCAGTAAGCAGCACCTATGAGTACATGAGGCTCTTGGGGGACATCTATACATAAACCATAATACTCATTCATTCTCAGGTAATTGGAATTACCTAGGAAATTTTAGAAGTTACTCATTCCTGAGAACCATCCTCTGACATTAAGATTTAATTGATCTTGATTAAAGCCAGGGTATCAAGATGTTTTAAAAGCACCCCAATGATTTTAAAGTGACAAAATTTGAAAACTGCCAACTACCTTGGTCCTGTGCCTCACCTATACACAAGTATTAGGATCTAGAAACTTAAAAAGATCCAAGTTCACTGGATTTGCTAACAATACTTTGTGGGTGGTGCCCCATTCTTCCTCATTAGAGAAAAATATTTTTGTGGTAGTTTTCATTTGCCATAGCCTTAGGACCTCTCATTGTCTTAAGTTCTCTCCATTTTTTGTGATCTTTTGAACTTTGAAAAAAATAAGCTGAAGAACAAAAACCCAGATAGGGCCAATTGTAATGGTGCATTATTATACTACTAGTTACTCAGGAGGCTGAGGCAGGAGTATAGGGAGTTCAAGGTCAGACTGGGATACATAGCAAAACTATCTTTAAAAAGAAAACACTTAGAAAGCACAGATTTATTTTTTCTTCCTAATAACCTACCAAGCCTGCATTTTTAGCTTCTCCATTCCACTGGGTAGAAAGAAAACTTATTAATATGTCAGCCTGCATAAAGTTCAGTCATTTACAACTTAAAATCTCAATCCCATCTAGCTCAAAGAAATCTCCTATCTTCTATTTTAGGGCAAGCATAGCTTATTACATTGTTCTAAGCACTGTAAAGTTTACATAATAATTTCCACCATATTATATAATCCTACAGAAGATAGAGAAAATTTGAACTATAAGTTAGTTATTAAGGTAGCTGAAGTAAAATAAGTATACGTTCCTTTAAGATTTACCTTTCCCATAACTCTTATTGTTTAAAGTGATGGCTAACTGAACCTTTCACCTGTAACCTAGCTGTAGATAACATTTAACCTGGAGAAAAGCAAAGTAGAAATGTTTGAGTAGTTTACAATGTATGTGTTTTAAGCACCATCTGTTTGTTATATGTCTGTGACTTTAACCATTAACAGGAACTAGTTGTAAAAGAGAAACAGAAATTTTAATGACTAATACCACCAGGAATGAGGTAATGGCTAAAAGAAGATATAAAAGGAAATGTTAAAACAAAGAACAGCGTGGACATTGATCAGACAAGTTTCTGGCAGTCCTGCCTTGCTGGCAAGTAAAGGCTTTGGTTTTTTACCCAACTCCTGTGTCTCCATAAATTTCTTTCAGCAATTCCAGAACACAGATGCCCACGACATCTCTATTTGTAGAGAAAGTCAGGCACAGAGAGGTGTTGTAAGGTGCCACCATGGCTGCCACAGAGGATGAAAAGATTACTCAAATGAGACTAGGTCCGAACACTGAGAGACCCAGAAGGACTGTCCTGAGAGCACTCAGCAGGAGAGGGTCTCAAGGGAGCAGCACTAAACCAAGAACTCTCTTACTGGGGACCCCTGAAATGTTACTGGAAACCTCTGCAGTAGGCTCCAGTCTCCTGCCCAATGTATGATGCAAGCCTGAGGGAAAAAAAACCTAAACAACAGAATTAAGGCAGAAAGCAGGGTGCCAGGACAACCAATGCCTGTGCAACTGACAAAGGCACTGGCCAGTTCTAGGCTCTGACTTTCATTAGTAATCAACTGGGGTAAAGCCAAGCTATGTGCAAGGGCAGTACTACATCCGAAGATGTGCAGTCGTATAGTTTCTATGGAAATTAATGTAAGCACGGCTCATCAAGGACAAGACAAAGCATTCTCAAATTAGGAACAGAATAGACAAAATATATGGTTGTAAACAGAACATTGTCCTTTTTCCAGCCTGCACTGCTTACTTCCTGCTTTGGGCATAATCCATACTGCAGTCTCCCACACTCTCTGGCTTTTATTGCAGGGAATTACAGGAAGGAAAACAGCTTGGGGATGGAAGAGGATAGCAGCCCACGAGGTTTGCAGCAGACAGTGTGGCAGCAGCAGGGCCTCACAGGCCACAGGGTGGCCTGTGCTTTGGTCTCCCTCCAGTTCCCAGGAGGTGGATGTTCCGGTGGGAATCTCACCCTCTCAAAATGAGCCAGGGGAAGGCTGGTGGCCCAGGTGGCTGGAGGAGCTTTGCTGCCATAGAATGAGAATTCTTTTCACCAGGATATGGAGGCTGTTCAGTCACTAAGAACACAAAGTTATCATTGTTGGGTAGGATAATGCAGGGAAAACTATCATCCTTCACCAATTTTCTATACTTCCCCTACAATAGGAAGCAATGTAGAAGAGGTAGTGATTAATAATACAAGTTTCCTGATGTGGGATATAGGTGCTCAAGAATCTCTTTGCTCTTCCCAGAACACTTGCTATACTAATACAGAGTTTGTAATAGTTGTTGTGGACAACATGAACAGAGAGAGGATTTCTGTAACTAGAGAAGAAATCTACAAAATGTTAGCTCATGAAGACCTAAGGAAAGCTGGGTTGCTGATTTTTGCTAATAAATGAGATGTTAAAGAATGCATGTCTATAGCAGAAATCCCCCAATTCTTGAAGCTCACTTCCATGAAAGATCACCAGCAGCATATCCAGGCATGCTCTTGGGGCAGAATTCCAAGAGACAGGAGAGATCAATGGGAATCAGGAGGATTTATTAGGTATACCTTGTCTCAGTTGGACTCCTGTCCAAAAGATTGAGTGCTGGAAAAGGAAATGTTTTATTTTTTATACATTTAGTCAGTGGGGTGGTCTTTTTAGTGATGTAGCACAGAATTTACAGAAACAGGACAAGGACAGTTTTGTGACTTACCCTTCAAAGAAGACAGAGTCTTGTGAATCTTGTGAGAATAAGATGACAAAAACTTAGTTTACAGGACATAGTTGCCAATTTTATCCATACCAGAACAAGGAGTTTCAATGGGGGAAAGGGTTGTTGATCCAAGGTGGGGGGTGTGAACTGCCCAAGGCAGGGAAGAACCTGCTTTTCTTTAAGTCCTGCTTCACTCTTACTGGTGGTGGTAGTGATGGGGTGGGTATTATCCCAGGATTTGAATGGATGATGTCACGATTTAAGACTAGATCATATCTACTGACCTCTTCTCACTGACTTTGTATAAACAAAGTGCTGGACTTTACCTGAAAGCTGCAAAAATCAATGGTGTAGATATATTTATAATGAACTGATTTAAGCTTTTTCTAGAAGAAAAATTAAGACTGCTTATTTGAAAGTAAAGACAAAGTTTCATCTTCTGATTTGCTTTCTCATTAGTTCCTTCCAAAGTATGTTACTGAGGCTGTGACTGATATTTTTCTTTTATTAAATAATAAATAATAATAAATCCTCTCGGGACATTGTAGAGCCTGTGGTAAGTACAAAGGAAGAGGAAGACATTTTGAACTTTAAAGAGCTTTATTGTCAGTATAACCCTCCCTAGTTGAATGTTGTTGTCTTCTTGTTGCATTAAGTCAAAATACAGATCAGCAAAACTGATTCCAATATATTGAAATGTAATGTTACTTACAAAAAACATTTTGCTTAAGGCTGTGTATGTATTGTGTATATACCTCAAGTTAATGGCTTTGACTTATGTTCTAAGAAAAGCAAATAACACAAATTAATAATACCCTTGTTATTACCCTAATGAGCTAAGTATTGGCACTGGTGTTAAAGTGCTATCTTGTACTTTCCGCCTATGTTATCTGTATTATACTAACACCCCCCCCCAACTGTTGAGCTGCTCTTCAAAAAAAAAAGAAAGAAAGAAACAACAAAAAGATCGCCATAATATATCTATTTTTTGTTGCTCAGTAGCACATGTGGAAACATAATCTAAGGCAGTACACTGTCAGATTCTCAGCTTGGTATTACTAATGGACAGAATTTCACAGTGAAGAATTACCACATTATTCCTTTTGTTCTTTATGCTCTCTAAATTGAGGAACAAATTGTTAACCCATTAATCAGTTGATCATAAATTGTGGTCAAAATTATCCAGTGATTTTTTTCTTCTTTTTCTTTTTTTTTTTTTTCTGGTACCAGGGATCGAATTCAGGACCTTGCACTTTCGAGGCAAGCAGCAGCACCACTGGGCTAAATCCCCGGCCCTCCAGTGATTTCTTCTTAACTAAACATTCTTGGGTGAACATGTTTCACCAGAGGGGGAACATTCTAAAAATATTGTTAAATAATTTAGCTACAGTCTTTTAAAGTACTAAATCATATGCCAAGCAGTTATAGTGAATTTGAGAGTATGAGTAACGCATACTTTCCAAGCAACATGAATAATTTCTTAATTTGAAAATCTCTTATTTTAGGAGTTGAGATTGTTTGAGATTTTGTTGCTGTAAATTTTCTTGTATCATCTTCCACTAGATGAATGCATTGTTTAATTATAGAGTACAATTTTAATGCTTTTGTGAATTTGATTGAGAAACTGATTGACATACTATTTGTACTAAGGAATAACTTGACCCAAAACACCTTTTATATTTACATAGAATTTTTTGTCCATGATGCCAATTATCTTACTGGGCATCAAACTCAGGACCTTGAGCTTTCGAGGCAACGTGGTGCCACTGACCTAAATCCCCTGCGACACAGAATTTTTTGTTTGCTTTTAAAGTTAAAGGTATTTTTGTCATAATCATAAACAAAATTAATCTGTGTTAAAACATATTTTTGGATATTCTTTTCATGTGTCTTTCATGAACTGAAGTTTTGAAGATTATTTCAAAAAGGCATGTTTTAGAATATTCAAGAAAAGAACTGCTTGTAACACTAGCTTTTAAAATTTCACTGAAGGTTTTGGTAAGGAATAGAACATACAATAAAAGCATTGGTGAAACTTTAAAAGTTTCTTTCTATAAAATATAAAATAATTTCTAAATTCAAATTAGGCATGGAAGATCAGTGCTAATGTTAGAATTTTGTTTTATATTTGTGTTAATGTTCAAAATTCAGATAAAACATTTCATATTTGTCAACATGGTTTTACAAAAGTAAATTTTGAAGTACTAAGCTTTGTTCATATGTTCTCGTACTTTTTCAGATCACTTCAAGAAATTACTTGTTGCGCATTAAAAAATTCCTTTAAAACCAAACAAGAAAAAAAGACAAACTTGGGTGAGCAATTATGTCAAGGAACCAGGAGGTCTGCTGACATCCTTCAGGTTAATCTAAGCAGTCTATTGGGCGGGGAAAGGACAGAGACCAAACCTAACTTTTAACCATACATTCCAGGGCCCCGGTGCTTTTGCCAAGTAGGCCCGTTCTTGACTTTAATTATTCGTCCTCCAGCCAAGTCCCCACAGAGAGGTTGAGTAATTTACCAAGATCAACTAGCCAGCAAGTGGTAACAAGCCCCCTACTGAAGTACAAGCTGGTCTGAGTCTGTGCTGGACTGCAGCTAGGGGCTGGGAGAGGACGAGGCTAGAGTTCCTGAAAGTGGGGAGCCCTGCAGCCTTGGCTGCCCGAGGACGGGTCTTGGAAATGGCACCTGGCGCCTGGAGTTGGGGCGGTGTCCTCTGGTAGCCTTTTCAGGAGCCATCTCAGGGCTAAGTCGGCAGTTTACAGCCTGCAGTGTGTGAAGGCTTACCGAGAGGAGTCGGGAGTCGGGAGTCGGGGTAGGGGCTTTCTTCAAGGAGTTTCGCGCCGGGGAGGAAAATGACAGATGTGAAGGTGTGTGTGCGCTGGGGGCCGACAGGGCCGGGGCCGCCTCTGCTCTCCCTAGACAGGTTCCGGTGGCTTGTGCGGCGGCTGCTCCGACCTGACAGCGAGACCCCGGGAGCCCCGTTTTCCCGCTGAGTCTCTGAGTCGACAGCATCCGCACGTCCCGGGAGACCGCACTCGGTCTTCCAGATCCAGCTCGGCCGATCTTTCCCGGAAAGTCCCGAGCGCAGGGAGGGACAGGGTGTCTCGGGAGTCGTGGGAGGCAACCACCGAGAGCGCTTCCTAGACCGCCCAGGAAGTGGCCCTGGTCCCCGGTTCCCCGCGCCCGCCTCCACTTCTCGCTTCTATTGAGGGGGCGGCCGTGGGGACCCTCGCCGCAGGGCTCGGGACGGGATGTCTGGGGACCCCTGTGGAGGCGCGGGGCTGCTGCCAGTGAAGGAGGAGCAGGAGGACCTGGAGGAGGCGGCGCCCTGCAACCCGCGGCCCGAGCGCGCCCGTCGCCGCTTCCGCGCCTTCCGCTACCGCGAGGCCTCCGGGCCCCGGGAGGCGCTGCGCCGGCTCCGCGAGCTCTGCCGCCAGTGGCTGCGGCCGGAGACCCGCAGCAAGGAGCAGATCCTGGAGCTGCTGGTGCTGGAGCAGTTCCTGGCCGTCCTGCCCGGGCAGCTGCAGGCCTGGGTGCGCACGCAGCACCCGGCGAGCGCAGAGCAGGCGGTGGCGCTGCTGGAGCGCGTGCCGCGGAGGCGCGAGGAGCCGCAGGTAGAGCCGGGCTCGGAGGCTTGGCCGGGCCGGGCCGCCGAACATCCGCCCTCATTGCCGAGGGTCTTGGTGAGCTGTCTACACACAGCCTCAGTTTCCCAGCCACGAAATTCCAGCGCGCAGGGTTGTCTGCATTCAGTGAGTTAATAGAGCTCTCAGAAACGGTGCCCAGAACCTAGAAAGTGCTTACTCATAGATAGTTTGGTAGCAATGTTTGATGGCTAAATAAAAGTAAATGAATTCCATCTAGGTCCCGCTTGACTGGGGACAAGCACTTTCGTGTTGCAAGGCGAGACTGGTGACAGCGGCCCAGAGGTCACCGAGCAGCCGAGTCCAGGCAGGGAAGCCTCTGCTCAGGCATGACTCTCGGGCATCCCGGCCCTCACGAGACACAGGTGAGTGCTGTCTGTGAGCTGTGCGCTTTTTAATCTGTGCTGAGGGTGGAATCCAGGGCCCAGTGTATGCTGGGAAAGCTTGCTACCCCTGAGGTGTGCCCCAGCCCAGGGTCGTGTGAGTTCTAAAGACTGCACACAAGACTTAATTTAAGGGTCACCTGAAAGATCCATTGACATCTACATTAAATGCCCATCACTGATTGACTCGAAGACTAAAATTAAAGGGGGAGTTTTAAACAGTAGTAGAAAGTTTTCTTAACCAAATCTGGACATAGGAAATAAGACTTCATTAAAACCGGTATCCAAAAGACTTTATTTTGTAAGAACATAGTGATCTCAAAAAAAACCCATAGTGATCATCTCCATTCATTTAAGGTGTATCCATAGAGCCCTTCCTATGGTAGTCAGTGTTATTAGGTAAATAAGGCTGGATGCTTGCTGTAGTGGCGTTTACAGTCTAGTGAGGAAGATAGCAAGAAAATTAACAATACAATTTTAGATATTCAAAAGTGCTTCAAAGAAAATAAGGCAGAATTTGTAACGAATTTTCCAGAAATGGTAAAAGTCCCGCAAATAAATCTATAAATCTTGTAGACCCTGTAAAGTGTGTAAATAAAACAGTGAAAATCATTCAGTAGGAAACCACTGTTTGTTCCAGGGTGTTCCTCATTCTTGTGAACATTTGGGCAGGTTCCCAGGATATACAGCATGTACACATGCCACCCAACACACTTTATTTCTCAACAAAAGCCTTGGCCTAAACCAACTCATGTTCTGTCCCTTGCAGATTTCACTTCTTATAGGGAAACCTCAGGTTTCTACTTCCCTCTTGAATCTGATTAACTTCTATAAACAACAACAGCAACAAACACCCTCCCCCTAACCCCTTTCTACCTTCATCTCTCAGGAGAATTAAATACTGAAAGGTCTAGAAATGGAAGGCTTTGTTTTCATGTGTTTATTTCACTTCTACTAAGGGTTCTGCCTATGATTTTTGAGTATCTGCAGGTTACAGCAGAACTCCTTAGGCCCTAGGAATGGAGCTGGTAGGGATTCTGCACTTTGGAAAGGAACACACTCTGTATAAACTTTTCAGCAAGAATTTAATAATCTGGTTTTCGATCTTGGATTCCACAATAGAGGGACTGAATACCCAGATAGATCTCATCCAGAGTTTCTTTTCTTCTTAGTTCTCCAGGTCCCTGGGTTTGCTCAGGGAGGCAGATGCAAAGAAGATGCCATGGCAGCTGCCAAATCTGCTGTAGAGTCCCAGGTGAGCTGGAGTCCCCTCCTCCCCATATCTTTCAACTTTGCTGCAGGTGGGCTTCCTCTCGGGTGCCTGGCTCCCCAGCTCCACCCGACCCCATCCCAGATCCACATGAGATTTGGGGTTTTTTGCCCTGCCATTGCTTATCACTCTGTGCTTCATTTGGTGCCCACTTAGAGGCTCTTGCTGTTTTCCTGTTGCCCTGAAGTGCCCTCTGTGCGGCTCCCATCTTTCCTATCCCATCTCTTCAGTCAGCTGTGTGTTCACTGGGATTTTCTTCTTCAACAACAGCAATTTAGTAAATGCAAACTGAAGGTTTTGTTGTGACAGTAGGTTTAGTATTTTTGTTGTTTTTCAATAGAAATTAGAAACCCAGGGCCTCACACATGGTAGGCAAGCTCACACCCTCTGGCTCAGCTCTCAGCCCTGTTTTTTAAAAATACAGTATAACAAAGCACACTCTTGGTGGGAAATATAAATACCTGGCCTCTGCCTTCTAAGAATTACATTTGAAGCAAACATATATTTCATGTCCTTTTAGTCTAAAGTTGGTCATATTTCAGTAGGAACAATCTTTACTTAACCTAGATTTTCCTTTGTCACTCAATCTTTCATGTCCTCCTTGAGGTTCAGTATTTGAGGCTATCCTTTGCTTTCTCTTATTTTTTTTAATCTCACACTTAGATGCCATTGGATTTTAAAAAAATATTAATGTAAATGAGCCCTCACCCCCTCCTTCCCAGACATACTACGAATCTTTTGAAGACTGTGAATATGTTTAGCTGCATTGGCTCTTGTTTTCTAAGCCTTTTTCTTTCTAGACTGTTTGGATATTTATATGAAAGTACTTTCCCCAACGAGCATAATGTCTTGCTTTTTGTTTTGTTTTGTTTTTTGTATAAATGTTATTGACTAGGTTTAAGTTTATCAGGTAAGCCACTTTTCCTTTTTAAAGAGCCCCTAAAAAGGATAAGTTCATTCTACACATGCACCTGCTTTGGGAGTGATGACGGGCAAGAGGTACGAGGTGGGCCCATTTATTGTTTTAGGAGTTCCTCCAAACGGAAGGCGTGGCCCTGATGCTCTCTCCTGGGTGGACACAGCTGAGTCCTTCTCCAGTGAAATTCTGCAGAGATGAAAGTCAGGGGAGCTGTGGCCACCCCGGCTCCCTAGGTAAGACAGACGAGCACTGGCGCTCCTGCTTGTGATGCTGGGCTCTTGGGAGCTGTTTGGATGCAAATGCCCATCTGTTAGCTCCTGTTTCCAACCAGCCGTGTACCTAGCTCCTTAAGCCTTCTGACCTTTGCATTCTTTTCTACCCAGTGTTATGGTCATTGCAGGTCAGATAAAGGAGCTGCACCCCTCAGTACAGGTCAGACTCACAGTAGATCCTCAGTAAGTGTTGATTGCCTTCCTTTTCCTAGACCTGGCTGAAGAAAGCTGAGGGACAGTTCAGAAAAGAGGCCATGGAGCCCCAGAGGGTGAGTTATAAGTGACCTTAGGCACTGACTAGACTTTGACCTTAGAGGTGAGGATGCAGAGGCACAGGTGGTTTCATGACTTTAAGAGGTCGCACAGGAACACAGCCTGCGCGTGGCCAGCGTCGAGGGGCGCCCTGGGGTCTTGGGCTTCGGGCAGGGCCCCCCTCCCCCAGTCCTGGTGTAGTCTGGCCGAATATGGCCGCTTCCGGTCTCCCTCCCAGGCTGGTGCTGGCCTGACTTGGGCCCCTGCCCGGCGCACTTCCCACTCCGTCCTCGGCCCTCCTGTGCGGCAGCCGAGGAGGTCACTTCAGCCTTTCTCTCCGGCTGACCCTGCCATGTCATGGAGAAGAGCTCGAGCTGCGAGAGGGTTGGCTCCCAGCCTGTGGTGGCTTGGCTGCCCAGCGTGGACTCCCTGTCCAGGTGAACCAGGACACCCGGGCCCACCCAGCGTCTGATGGAGAAGGAGAAGGCCAGGCCGGGGACCCACTGGAGGGTGGCCCAACTCTCGGCTTCTGGTTCCTTCCCCGGGGCTTGGAGATCACCTCCTGCCCCTCTTGGGCATACAGGGTGAGGAAAAGTTGCCTCCACTTCTCATCCAGAGAATTCCAGGCACACAAAATCAGCTCCTGTCAGATCATCAGATTCCATTTCAACTTCTGCACACAGCTTTTCTCCTGATTTGGGGGAGTCTAACAAATGAGCAGAAATGGAAGAACCACCCTTGCTTCCAGGAGAAAATATTAAAGACATGGCCAAAGATGTAACTTATGTCCATTCACTGGTGCTGTATGAGGAATGCTGTCATGAATTACAGGTTATATTTCAAATGCATGGAACAGGACCCCCCCATTTGTTTTAGATTCTTTTCTTGGTGTGATAAGTAGAGTAGAAAAAATTGGTGGTGCTTCTAGTCGAGGTAAAAAATTCCTGTGGATTAGAAACCCGTGTGGAAGGGTATTAGGAATTTGCGATTTGCTCATAAATCTGAGGGTCGAACAAGAAGATTAATATTTGAGAATCTGATGAAATATGCACTTCCTGTCTCTAATAACCTGCCTCTTTTTGCTTTTGAACACAAAGAAATATTCCCAGAAAACAGATGGAAGCTATATGACCCTCTTTTAGAATATAGAAAGCAGGGGATTCCAAATGAAAGCTGGAGAATAACAAAGATAAATGAACGATATGAACTTTGTGATACATATCCTGCACTCTTGGTTGTGCCAGCAAATATTCCTGATGAAGAATTAAAGAGTGGCATCCTTCAGGTCAACGGGCCATATCCCAGTTTTATTGTGGATTCATCCTGAAAGTCAAGCCACAATCACACAATGTAGCCAGCCCATGGTAGGAGTGACTGGAAAGCCAAGTAAAGAAGATGAAAAATACCTTCAGGCTATCATGGATTCCAATGCCTAATTGCACAAAATCGTTATATTTGATGCCCGACCAAGTGTTAAAGCTGTTGCCAATAAGGCAAAGGGTGGAGGTTATGAAAGTGAAGATGCTTATCAAAATGCAGAGCTAGTTTTTCTGGATATCCACAGTATTCATGTTATGAGAGAGTCATTACGAAAACTTAAGATCGTGTATCCAAATATTGAAGAAACTCATCAGCTGTCTAACTTGGAACCTACACACTGGCTAGAGCATATTAAGCTTATTCTGGCAGAGGCTTTTAGGATTGCTGACAAGTTAGAGTCATGGAAGACTTCTGTGGTGGTGCATTGCAGTGATGGTTGGGATCACACAGCTCAGCTAATTTCGCTTGCTATATGCTCATTATAGATGGATACTACGGAACCATCCAAGGATTTGAAGTCCTTGTGGAAAAAGAGTGGCTAAGCTTTGGACATCGATTCCAACTAAGAATTGGCCATGGAAATAAGAACCATGCAGATGCGTACAGATCACCTGTTTTCCTTCAGTTTATTGACGGTGTCTGGCAAATGACAAGACAGTTCCCTACTGCATTTGAAGTCAATGAGTATTTCCTCATTACCATTCTGGGCCACCTATACAGCTGTTTATTTGGACCATTCCTCTATAACAGTGAACAGCAGAGAGGAAAAGAATCTTCCTAAAAGGACTGTGTCACTGGGGTCTTATATAAATAGCCAGTTGGAAGACTTTACTAGTCCTCTCTATGGGAGCTCTTCCAATCCTGTCCTTTATCCAGTAGTGAGCATGCGCCGCCTAGAGCTCTGGGCGGGATATGACATCAGGTGGAATCCACGGATGAAACCACAGGAACTTATTCACAGCAGATACAAAGAACTTCCTGCTAACCCAGCAGAGCTTCTGAGAAAAATAGAACTACAAAGAGAAATTTCCAACTGAGCAAACTCACCCTCAGAGAGAGCCAGCTCTCCTGCACATTGTGTCACTCCTATCCAAACTGTTGTATGACAGAACTATTAGATTAGGGGCATTATTGCTATGAACTCTTCATCGCAGTGGCAGCTTTATGAGTAGAAATTCTTCCATATTTGAACACATTTACAAGAGAAAAAGTTCAGATACTTTATTTTGTCTAAGATAAGTTTAGAACTATAGCAGTATGGGTGGCTCCATTTGTAATTATACAATTATGACACTAATCTTACCCAAAAGATATTAAAATATTTCAATTCTGTATCCATAGTGGGAAAAACTTTGGGATCTGAATAAAAGCAAAATACACACCACTTTAGAAATATATCACGGGATGGAAGAAAGCTCACTGCACAGAGAAATAAGTTTTCAGATCAAATTGATACTGAAATTTCATGATATCGCATATACTCCCTTGATGTATAACAGATTAAGATTATATAATATTCCTTTAAAAAAAGAGGTCACACAGCTAGGACATTGTCCCATTGCTGGGACAAAAGACCTCAGATCCACAACTTAAGGGAGGAGAAGTTTATTTTAGTTCATAACTTGAGAGGTTTTAGTCCACTGTCAGTTGGCTCCAAAGCCGAAACATTATGGCACAAAGGTGGGGCAGAAGAAAGCTGGTCAACTCATGGAAACTACGAAGCACTGTGGGTTACAAAGATCCAGAGAAGGGGCAGGCGCTAGATATAGTCCCCAGGGTCTCACCCCCACCACCCACCTCCAACCAGGTCCCACCTCTAACAGCCCTGTACAGCTATGAAGTCATCGACAGGTTAACTCATTGATGAGGTTAGTACCCTCTCAGCCTGTCACACTGACAAGATTCACTGGCATAGCAGCATAGTGGGGGTTCCAACCCTGAACTCCCAGTGCCAATGACACTTCTGTTTGGGGACCTTGCCTCTACCTGGCATGACACTAGAGATGACAACTCCTGTCATTGATCAGGACCAAATTCCAAGTCCCCACTTTCACTGTTTCTTACAGAATATTTCAGAAACCCTTCCACTTGCCCCGTTTACTGCCACCTTCTGCTCAGTCCTTTCAGTATCTAAGCTCAGTGCATGGCCCTGCCCTACTGTTCTCAGTGCTTAGCAGCCCCTCCCCAAACCAGCACCATTGTGTCCTCAGCACAGTCCCTGGCCTCGTCCCCCCACTCCCTCCATTCCCAGCTGTACCTTCTCCCAGTGGCCCTGTCCCATTCTCAGGTCTCTTCCGCTCAGCACCCCGTGGCCTCCTTTATTCTCATTCTCATTCCTGCACTTCAGTCCTCCCTGGCATGCAGAGACCCCTGCAATTCTTGTCTCCCTGGTGCTCATCAGAGCTTTCCTCCCACATAGGGCATAATCCACCCTCGTTGACCTTTGTTGTTTCAGGTGGTGAAATGCAGGCTAAGATCAGGGGCTTGTCTCCAGCTGAGGAGCATCCAGGACAAGATCCTGGGCGGACTCCCTGCCACCTGGGTGAGGACACTGCCCAGGATCCTGCTTGTGCTGAAGCTGGCAAACAGGAAGACAGGTTACAAAGAAAGCAGAAAAATGCTCCAGCGAGCAGGCGGCATGTTTGCTACGAATGTGGAAAGAGTTTTGCTCAAAGTTCAGGTCTGACCAAGCACAGGAGGATCCACACCGGAGAGAAACCCTACGAGTGTGAAGACTGTGGGAAGACCTTCATCGGGAGCTCTGCCCTGGTCATTCACCAGAGAGTCCACACAGGAGAGAAGCCATATGAATGTGAAGAGTGTGGGAAGGTCTTCAGTCACAGCTCAAACCTTATCAAACACCAGAGAACACACACGGGAGAGAAGCCCTACGAGTGTGAGAACTGTGGGAAAACCTTCAGCCAGAGCTGCAGCCTCCTTGAACATCACAGAATTCACACTGGAGAGAAGCCATACCAGTGTAGCATGTGTGGCAAAGCCTTTAGGCGCAATTCACATCTCCAGAGACACCAGAGGATCCATGGTGACAGGAGTGAGCTTGGAGAGGCCTGGATAGGTAAGGCCAAGATGGAAAGCCAGTGGGAAAATGCTGAAACTTCTGTGTCTTATAAATGTAATGAGTGTGAGAGAAGTTTCACTCAAAATAGAAGTCTTATTGAACATCAAAAAATCCACACTGGGGAGAAACCTTATCAGTGTGATGCATGTGGAAAAGGCTTCACCCGAACTTCATACCTCACTCAACATCAGAGAAGTCACGTAGGCAAAAAACTTCTGTCACAGTGACTCATTGTATGCATAGCAAAGTTGGTGTTCTTTTCTCATTGAATTGAACCCACCTGGAACCTTGCTGGCTACAGAAGTTTTGGGTGGGATTTTTTAGGGAATGGGGATGGGGATGTTACCAGGACCTCTGCCTTGGGTCCCGGCTTGTGAGCCACCACAGCACAAGGTGAATTCAAGAACAGACAGAAATGAGACAGTGGAGAAGCTGAGTCTTGGGGCCTAGTCAGTGCTGCTAATGGCGGCAAAGACAAAAGCCCCCAAGCACACCCAGTGTTTACTGAATACAATGGTGGGAAGGAATATGGAGCCGGGTATGCTTTGAAGGCATCTAGTGAAACACTGCCAAACACCTGGCATGATGGTGCCAAGTAGGGCTGTCAGGGAGGAAGCAGGGTTTATCTTGCTTGGATAGAACAAACTGATACCAGGACCAGGTGCAATTAGCAAGCAACCCAGAGGGTCAGTGAGAAGCCGTAGTTCAGGGGAAAGGGTTTTAATTGGAGTCACACCGACCTCAGCTGCACGTAACTCAGCAGAGTCCTGCCACTTCACAGACCAGGGCCTAGGTTTCTGTGGCAGCCATTGAGGGAGGGGCCATACTCACCAGTCCGCCATTGGACACGTCCGTTTGAGTCATGTAGGGCTTCAATCTGACTCCTGATATAAAACAATATAGCCGATTTATGGAAGGCAAAAAACACATGCCACTCATAGCCCACAAGTACTGGGCAGGGATGTCTCCTACAGGGTTTTGTTTACTAATGTGTATCATCAGGTATTAGAAAAGTCATTCTAGCTGAGATGAATTATCATCTACATTTTAAAAGGTGATTGGAACAACACTTGACGAGAGAGCATGAGAATATTGTCTGGAAGAGGTAGAACCTGAGGTGTTTTGTTCTCACCTGTCCGATTGCGTTGGGCTTTCAGAATGACTAGTTGCCTTCGACCAGCACTTTTTTCTCTTGGATGGATGGCTGTCGATTTTTGGGGCTGCTGTTCTTCCCATTCCTTTTGCCAGTAATGAATCCTTCATGAGTTGGTCAGACTGAGGAGGTCTTTCACTTGTCACTGTGCCTTGCATATAGGTGCTAATTAAACATTTACTAAACATCTCATAAAATGACTTTTAAAGCTCTGAAAATCTGTCTCTACGTTTCTGAGGAATTTCTAAGGCCATGTGTTTGTATCTAATTCTCTGAAATTCTAGAATCTGGGTCCAGCTGAGCCAAGTATGCAGGGTTCCCAGAGTTGGGGTGGGAATCTACACTTCTCCACGAGGGTAGCACAGCAAGGGAAGGCCTTTAGGCATAATTGTCAATCACTGAGACCCTTCGAGACAGCTCTAGTCATTGAACTCTTATTAGTACACATGAAGTTTGCTGTTCCTTAAAGGGAAATCTTTCACATAATTAAAACTCAGTGTATTAAGTCAGGTCAAAGTGATTATGAATTTTGTTGTAAATTCTGTAATGCTCCACATCTCACTTTTCACCCGTTTTTGGCCTGGCTGGGTTCTAAGACACCATTTGTATCAGTCTCCCAGCTTTCAGCAAGCTGCATCAGCTTTTGCTAGCTGACCCTAACCTTCCTCCAGGTCAGAGGAGTCCCAGCACATATTTATAGTTATCATTCATGACTTCAAAACTGTACTGTGGGTTGGAATATGAAGATAGGTAAGCAGCAGCTGATGTAAGTAGAAACCCAAGTGTGGGTGGTAGGAGAAAATGTATCTGTTCAGAAGCACACTGAGAATCCCAGTTTTCTGAGGAAAGAACTCCACAGTATCCAAAATGTCAACATCTGAAATCAAGAGTCAGTGCTGTGTTAATCATAAGAAATAAGACTTTCATGATATCCCCCATTTTTCACCCAAATCACCTGTATTTTGAAGACTAGTGTCTTCTCCCCAGGTGCTTGAGTACATATCGTCAGCCTCCAGCCTTGCCAGACTGTCTTGAATGGATTCTGCTTCTGAAGAAATCCATGACAATGTTTTATTCTGTCAACAGCCAGTGTTCATCTCTCTTTTCAAGGACCCATTCTAGGTTTCTGCTCCGAAGCATCACAGGCTGATTCGGGTCTCGGAACCAAAGGGCTCTCCCTTTCAAAGCGCCCTGTAATGCTTCATTATCCCCTCATTTCAGTCTAATTTAAATCTTCTTTAGCTTCCCAAAGTTCCTCAACTTTCTCCACATAGCCTTTTAACATTTCCTTTTTACTTTTGCTACCTCTGCAGTTAGCCATTTCCTTTTCTCTCCTTTATTCTCCCCTTTAAATCTTTACTTTTGAAAAATATTTCCCAATATCCCTGATCATAAGCATTCCAACGCACTGTGGACTAGCAACTCTGCTCATTTTTCTTTGCTATTGTTTTTGCTATTACATGAAGAGATACATGTGAAAGCATTTTACAAACCAGAAAACATCATACAAGTATAACTTACTTATACATTATTACTTATACATACATCATTACTCATACATTAAAACCTTTAACTATTTTCTCCCTTTCTTTTTTCACACTAATTCTCCTCATCCACTTTGTGAGCCTGGGAACAGGCTTTGTAGCCTTGTAGAATACCTGTATGCAGACAAGACACAGAAGGCTGACGTACCACTGATGCAAGAGGTACACCTGTCTCACGCTATTATCTTCAGAATCTTCCAGGTAAATTATTTAATCTGGAAGTTGACTGAGTCAGCTTGTTCTTTTGTGTTATTGAAATAAATCAGGGTTTCTTGGTACTTATTGATGGAATCCTAAGAGGGCGCTTAGTCACCAGGACTGCTCGAAGTACTCTGAACCTGAGTCAACATTTGCATTTTTTTTCAAAATTACCTAAAGGAGGAAGATTTGTAAGTAAAACAAAATGGGCCATAAGTTGGTAACTATTAAAGCTGGGTGATGAGTACATGGGGTTTCACTATGCTACTCCACTTTTGTTTACATTTTCCATAAAAGATTTAAATCATATAATCCCCAGTTCTAACAAGATTTGAATTCTCAGTATAATACACTTAGGACTTACTAAAAACAGTGTAAAATCAAGTTGTGTCTCCGGAGTTGTTCCAAGTATTTTCACTGCCATCTCTTGGGAAGCCTCCAAATAGTCAAAGAAATTAAAGAAAAAAGATAAGACTGAGGCTTTGGTAGAGAAATCATAAAAGGAATTAAGGGACAGAAAGCAAAGAGAACCTGTGGGCCGGGCATGGGGGTGCACGCCTGTAATCCCAGCACTTTGGAGACTGAGGCAGGAGGATCTTCGTAAATTGAAGGCCAGCCTGGGCTACATAGTGAGCTCAAGGCCATCCTCAACTACATAGCAAGACCCTGCCTCAAAAAACAACAACAACACAAAGAGACCCTGTAAGACCCTCAAGCCTCAAGTCTTGTTCTCGTCCTAAGGAGCTAAGATTCCTCCTTCCCATAAGTAGGTAAGCAAAGAGCCTCTTTTGGGAGGTTTGAGAACACTCAAGGCTACAGAACTCTTCTTTGATTTTAAAGATCTATAGATAGCAGCCAGGGATGTTGCTCAGTGGCACCATGCCTGCCAGGCAATTGCAAGATCCTGAGTTTGATCCCAGATACTGAAGGGAAAAAAAAAAAGATCTATAGAGTAAGGAAATGTTTTTCTCCAGACCTAAACCAACCAAAAGAAAAGAAAGAGAAAGAAAGATTTCTGCTAGCAGCTTAGGTAGCATATTAATCTCAACAGTAATTCAATTCTTGGACGTGGTCTAGTATTTCGGATACTGGTGATTTTATATAACATCGAAGATATGATAAAAAAGCACTAAGAGATTTTTAGGCAGCTAAGCTTAAATGAGGAAAATGATAATGCCAGTATGAAGCATAACATCTTAAAGAGACTGGGATTTGTGATTAAAAAGCCAAATGTTTAAAAAGACGTGACATAAGAACATTAGAAACGGGGTGAAGGGCATACAAGAACTCTTATTTTTGCAACTTTGTTTTGTTTTGTTTTCCATTACTGGGGATTGAACTCAGGACCTTGTGCTTGCGAAGCAGGTGCGGTGCCACTGAGCTAAATCCCCAGCCTGCTCTTTGCAACTGTTTAAGTCTAAAAATATTTCAAAATATAAAGGCTACTGGAAATAAAATCTTAAGTTTCAAGCCTTGGCTCTGATACTTGGATTCTCTGTGTTTTAGATTCCTTGTCTGTAAAATAGGATGATAGTAATAATCTCCCTGTGTGGTTGCTTCTAGGACAACCATGGTTTGAGTAAACAGACACACTTCTGAGTGAAGCATGCAGCAGCACTGGTCACTATTACAAGGGGGAGTCTTGCAGGTGTCTGAGGGAACCAGTAGTGTACAAAGGTGTCCACAATGTAGGCAGGGTCATAAGAATACCAAAGACATTTATTATAAAACACCAGTGGAACACTATGTTATCTTTAGAAATTAAACATAGATACCTGATTTTTCAAGGATGTTGACTTAATCAGTATATTACTAACATGGGTCAGCAGCCAAAGATAAATAAGAGGACAGGGGTCATGAGAACAGGAAAGTAGCAAACAAAAGGGTAAGGAGCAGCTTCAAAAACACAAAATTGCCTTTTAGGATGTCCTGGGCCAAAGGTCAGTATATGTTCCAAACATGTTTAGTGGAAACAGGAAGAAAGGCATTTTCTGGTTTTATCCTAACCCCTAGAACTTGGCCAGACTTGGAGAATTCATTCACAGCAAATGCTGGCTCATGTCAGCCACCGTGTGGATCTTCTGATGCCGGATGACATCGCAGTGGTGATCAAAGCTTTTCCCACAGTTTAAGCACTGGTGCGGTCCATCTCCAGTGTGGCTTCTCTCATGCTCGATGAGAAACGACTGGAGACTCTAGCTTTTTTCACACTGGGTGCACTGATAGGGCTTCCCCCGCTTGTGGATTCTCGGATGCTGGATCAGACCTGCACTCTCCTGAAGGCCCTCCTGCACTCCTTACAGTGGTACCACTTCTGTATATTGTGGATCCCTAGGTGATTAACTAGCCCAGAACTTCGACTGAAGGTTTTCCCACACGTTACATTTGTAGGGTCTTTCTCTAGTGTGAATTCTCTGGTGTTGAGTGAGGCCTGAGCTCTGAGCAAAGCTCTTCCCACATTCCTCACATGAGTGTTGCCCGTCTGCTAAGCCCATGGCCCGCTGCCTCTCTGGCCCACCTTTATGACACCCAACTTCTCCACATCCACAGTCCTGCTGTGATACCTCCCAGGGCTGACCATGAAATGTTTTCCCATGTGGCTCTACTACCCTTGGACAGTTTTTCCCTAGCACCAACTCTCTGTCTTCAATCTCGGTCATTCCATCTGAAACGAAAAAGGACAAGTGTCTTTTGTTCACTGAGCCCAGGAGAGGATGACTGTTCACAGAATGGAGGGTAGCCTAGACACAGAAAGGTGTGAGCACCTTCCCCAGGAATGAGGGAAGTCTGCCCTCCTAGGTAAATGTAGCTCAGGCATCCCCATGTGGACATGGCCGGGGGAGAATTTTTATACTTCATAGATAGAGAAGGGTCAAGATCAAGGTGGCTTCTCTCTACCCCTTGTGAGCTCGGGAGCTTCAAAGAGAAACTCTGCAAGGAAAGTGACTCACTCATTCACTTGTGGAATTCATATTAAGCACTCCAGGTGCTTCTAGGGGAACTTCATGACTTTCAAATCACACAGGCCTGTGCTCTGGCTCCTCCCTTTCTGGAAGCTCTCACCTCAGGGAAGAGCAAGGCTCATCCTCACACTCCCTTTAAGTCTTTGCTCAGTGAAGTCCATCTTCATTCTTCTATTTAATACTACAATCTCTGTGCCTCATCCATTGCACCGTTGCTTTTCATGGACAGGGTCTATGTTGCCCAGGCTGGTCTCAAACTCCTGGGTTCCAGTGACCTTCCTGCCTCAGCCTCTTTAGTAATTGTGACTACAGGCATGTGCCACTGCACCTGGCCCCATTGCACTTTTTTTTTTTGATACTGGGGATCGAACTCGGGACCTTGCGCTTGTGAGGCAGGTTCAGTGCCACTGAGCTAAATCCCAGCCCTCCCATCATACTCTTCATCACCCTTGTCTTGTTCTGTTTTATTTTTATTCCACAGCACATATCACCTAATATACTGTCATCTTCTTTTTTATGTTTATTATTGTCTTTTTCTTCCTAAAATCTAATCTCCTTGAAGCAAGACCTTTGTACCTTATTCTCTGAGAATCATACCTGGTATATACTAGCTCAAAAATTGTTGTTGAATGAACTGAACGAATGAATGAAAGTAAAAGAATTGAAACCTATCCTACTATTAGGGCCTTAGCTGACTGGCACCTAAGGCAAAGGCTGCCCCACCGGACTGGCCCAACCTGGATATGTCCAGCCAACCCACCAGATTCTCTCTGCCAGGGAGTGAAGGGAAGAACTGAACTGTAAGGTACAGTCCTTGTAAGAGGAAGAGTCATCAGAGCTCTCTTCTCTGCACATGCACAGAGGAGGCCACATGAGGATGCATTAAGAAGATGGCCACACACAAGCCAGGAAGAGAACCCTCACCAGAAACTATACCTGACATCTTGGACTTCCAGCCTTTAGAATCGTGACAAAACAATTTTCTATTGTCCAAGGCAGCCAGTCTATGCTATTCTGTTGTAGAAGCCTATGTAACAGAATATAGTAAAACAATATAAGACAATTATCAACCCCGTTTTGTAGCTAAGAGAACCAGGGTCTACTGGTTAAGTAACCCATTCAGTAATGCAGCTTCCATGAGGTAAAGTCATGATCGGCAATGTCTGTCAAACCCTGAAGCCCATTCTCTAAAGCCACATTCCACAGTGATTCCTGAAAGCTTCCTTACATACAATGTGCTAGAGTCCAGAAAGCTTCCAAATGGTCCTCAGGAAGAAGATTATACCAGGGGAGGATAAAGATGGGTAGCCCTGCTGCTACCTGGTAAGGAGGCTTTCAATCCTATCCTTGCTCAGCTCTGGGTTGTTTAGTTTTGCTTGGCCAGGAAAGAGATGTCAACATCAGATAAATCCTGTCCCTCACCTGTCTCTCCACTAGGATGGGACTGCTGGGCAGGATCACAGTGAGCTGGGGCTCCATAGGCTGGCACTGAAGGCTCAGTGACGACTGCTCTTCTACAGGCAGTTTCTCTCTGGAGAGGACTTGTCTGTGAGTTACCATCCGGGGACAAAGAAACAAGATCTGATTTCTGGAGAAATTTACTGTCTTAAACACTTTCCAAAAAGAAGGGTGTACCAAGGTGGGTCTTATTACCAAAGTCTAGGGGATATAATGCAGAGGATACAAAGGTCCTTGGTGCCCCACATAATATTCTTTCCTAGCAAACCTCCCTTCCTACCTCATGTTGTGGTTCATCAAGTTCTCTCTCCAGCTCTTCCAACAAAATCACAACCTCTTCCCCACTCTCTGGACAGTGCTTCCTTATCCAGCCCTGCAGCTCCTTGGGGAGAATGATCAGGAACTGCTCCAGCACCAGCAGCTCTAGGATCTGCTCCTTTGTGCTCACATGTGGCTTCAGCCACTGGTAGCAAAGTTTCTGAAGTCGATTAAGAGCCTCTCTTGGTCCCCAGTCTCCTGGTAGCAGAGCTGCCGAAAGTGCCTTCAGATTTCCTTGCTAGGGCATTACTGCGTTTCAATCTGGATTCCTGCTTTTGGAGCTGACTTTCTGCCTCCACTTTCATCATTGCAAGCTCTTCCAACACCTCAGGAGCTTGAAAATCCAGGGATAAAATGTGAATATTCATCTTGACCTTGAGCAGCTCTTAAGGCACCCTTCAAAACACACCCTTGGATGCTTCTAAGCAGTGAAAATAACTTAGAGAAAAATGGCAATGACTGATGATAGAAATTGGTATCAGTAATTATCACAGATCAGAAAGCTTTACCCTGAAAGAAGCTGCTTGGTGAGCAAAGGATGGATATAACAGAAAAATAGGTTATAAAGTACAAAGTACAGAGACTTCCAAGTTACTCTGATCTAGATTTGACTCTGGTTCTAACAGTAATTGTGTGACTTTGTGCTGATTTCTTATGTTCTTTCCATCTGAGCTTCTCTATATGAAAAAGAAATAGCAGTAATACCTTACAGAGTTCATGGTGGGGGCGTGCTGAGGATGTACCGCTGCAGTATAGAGCCTGTCTAGCATGTGTAAGGTCCTGGGTTCAATCCCTAGTGCTGCCAAAAAAGAACAAACAATCCCCTTACCTAACAGTTCATGGAAGTAGCCCATGAATTAGGGATCACACAGATGACTCAGAAAGTCTTGCTATAAGTCTGAACTCACTGCAAAAAAATCAAATTAGAAAACGAACAATTGGAATAATGTTCCTGTTCTTGATGAAAGGTACAAACCAAAAGTTACTGAAATCTTTTCTTGAACTTTAAAAAATCAATTTATTTTTTATTTACTTTTTTTTTTGGTACCGGTGATCGAATTCGGGTCCTTGCGCTTTCGGGGCAGGTGGCAGAACCACTGAGCTACATCCCCGGCCCAAATCTACAAAACAATCACTGAAGAATGGTATCATTTTCACTAAACCTATGGAAAGCAAAGGTGAGGTGCATTTCAAGTCCTGTGAGCTCTCCACACTGCCCAGCTGCTTTCTGAGTAGCTGTGGACACACACAAAAATCTCCAACATGCTTTCAGATTTTTAAGGCTACCTTTAATCCTCACCAGAACCGCCTGAGATTTTACTCTAATCATCATCTCACTAGGTACTAAAGGGAGAGGAGGGGGAATTTAGTAGCTTATCTGAGGTTAAATGTGTTGTGAGGAAGTTCTGAGAATTCACAGAAGGGTCCATGTGTGTGTGCTGTGTGTTATGTGTGTTGTGTGCTGTGTGTCCTGTGTGTGCGGTGTGATGCATGGTGTGCTGTGCTGTGTGTTATGTGTGTTGTGTCCTGTGTGATGCATGGTGTGCTGTGTCACGTGTGTGCTGTGTGATGCGTGTCACGTGTGTGCTGTGTGATGCGTGTCATGTGTGTGCTGTGTGGTGTTATGTGTGTTGTGTGCTGTGTCCTGTGTGTGCTGTGTGATGCATGGTGTGCTGTGTGTTATGTGTGTGCTGTGTGATGTGTTATGTGTGTTGCATGCTGTGTGTCGGGTGTGTCATGTGTGTGCTGTGTGATGCATGTGTGTTATATGTGCGGTGTACGATGTGTGGTGTGTTACGTGTGTGTGGTGTGGTGTGTGTTGCATGCTGTGTCCTGTGTGCTGTGTGATGCATGGTGTGCTGTGTGATGGGTGTGTCACGTGTGATGTGTGTCATGTGTGTGCTGTGGGATGCGTGGTGTGTTATGTGTATGGTGTGATGCGTGGTGTGTCGTGTGTGCTGTGTAGTATGTGTTGCGTGCTGTGTGTCCTGTGTGCTGGGTGTGTCATGTGTGATGCGTGTGTGTCATGTGTGCGCTGTGGGATGTGTGGTGTGTACTTGTGATGTGTCATGTGCTGCACGCTGGCTTGCGCTGGGGTTTTCTTCTGCGCCCCAGCGTCCCTCCTCGGCCCCCGTGTCTCCCTCACCGTGACAGCGGCCTCACCTAGGTCCTCCCTGCCCCACCTCCCAGGCTAGGCTCATCTGCCGCACCCTGCCTCAGCCCGCCACCCCCGGGCCGAGCTCAGACCTGGAAGCGCGGAAAGGTGCGGTAGGAGGCTCCGGCATCGCCTGGGGGCGGGAAGAGCGCCCGCGGAGGAAGATGCGGCCGTCGCACTTCCAGCAAGTCTAGGAGCCGTGTCTCGGTGCCCGGCCTCCAGCGCTGACTGACCTGAATTGGCCCCGTTTCGGGGCGTCCGGCTCTGGGAAGCCCTGTGCTTCAGAATTAGAATTTCAGCCTTGAGTGGGCTTCGTACAGGTTATAAACTCAAAAACAAAACAAAACAACAACAACAACAAAATGATGAAGGCTAGGCCATCAGCCTATGAAAAGATTGATTTTTTAAGATATTTTGAAAAAGTAATATATTATATTTTAAAAATAAAAACTCCTTTCTTAGTCTTGCTCCCTGAGATAGTCAGTGTCACCGTTAGTTTGAAATTTGTGCGTCATTTTGATCTCTTTCCTTTCCAGTTTGCTATAAAAGTTGTCTGAATTTTAGTAATTATAAATCGAAAATAAGTATTGGTACAAATAAATGTTAAAGGGGCTGTTAGTCATTTATCAATGTTATTGTGCCAACCAGAGTGGTGGTGTGGTATAATCTATGTTTTAGCGGAAGCTCATGATTTACTTTATTAAAACAGTAAGACTGAATCTTGTTTTTTATTTTATAAAGATGATATGCATACATTGTAACATCCACCAAGGTTTCAGAGCACACCAAACACTTTTCTGCAATGAAATGTGCACCGTATGGACCGTCAACTTAAGTGGGTTATATACAGACCATAATGAATCTGTTTAGTGTACTACAGGATTTGCCCTCGGATGAATTTTCTTGCCAAATTTATGGGAAAAATACTTAAAAGTTTTTAGAATTTAAAACTGTAAATAAGGGATACTGAGTAAGTACTAGTGTTTGATTTCTTTTAGATATTGAAATATTTTCAAAATAAAACTTAAAAAAAACTCTCCTAGTCCTGCCTGCAGCCATTTCACTCCTTAGAAACAATCAAAGTTATTGATTTCTTATGTAGCATTTCAGAGATTTTTTGCATATAGAAGTAAATACTTATATATAATTTGTCCCTGGTATTTTACATGAACAGAGAATTATGCATAGCGTTCTTTATTTTGCTAGTTTTATTTAATAATAAATCTTGGAATTTTTCCCATTATCATATACATAGTTACCTCGTATTTTTAATAGCTGCATTATGCAGATTTACCTAGTTGGCCCTCTATTAATAGGCAATTAGGCTATTTCCAATCATTTTCTGTTTATAAATAATGTTGAACTAAATAGTTTCAAACATACATCATCTTACATATGTGTCAGTATATCTCTAGGATAAATTCTTAGAATTTCTGAGTCAAAGAATACGTGCATTTGTAAAATTGATGTACACTGCTAAATTGAACTCTGGAGTGATTATAAAATTTTATAGCTCTCTGACAATGAAAGTGATATCTCTTCCCACTCTTACCAAACTTTTGATCTTGGATAATCTGATAGGTTATTAAGAAAAGGCGATTATTGTAGAGTTAATTGCATCCTTATATATGAATATAGTTGAATTAGCTAATATTTATGTCCTTTTTATTCCTGTGAATTTTCTGTTCATAACCTGTTTGTCTTGTTTATGGTAGTCTTTCTCTTGACTTGTATGATAATCATATAGTAAGAAAAGTACCCTGCATGATAACTTAGAATTTTTCTACTCAACTTTATGATTTTTGTTATGTTCTGCAGAAACTTTTAATTTTTAAGTACTTAAATTCACTAATTTTTTCTGTTTCTGGATTTTGTGTGATACTGAGAAAAGCCCCTCTCCCCCAGAACCAGGGATCGAACTCAGGACCTTGTGTTTGCCAGGGAGGAACAGCACCACTGAACTACATCCTGGCCCTGAGAAAAGTCTCTTTGTGCCAGATCAATAAATGAAAATTCTCATAGGATTTCTTCTAGTGCTTGGTTTTGTTTTGTTTTCCTACTTCAATTTTTTGTTTCGTTTTTTGAGACAGGGTCTCGCTGTGTAGTTCAGCGATCCTCGAATTCAGTATGTAGCCCAGGCTGGCCTCGAACTCACAGGCACCCTCCTGCCTCAGACTCCCGAGTCCAGGAGCATGTGCCACCACACCTGGCCTACTTAAATTTTTGAACTGGAAATTATCCCGTTATAAAATGGGAGCTGTGAATTACATTCTGTTTTTCAGATGTCTGCTCAGGTGTCCCAAGACCGTTAAGTAATCCATCTTTTCTTCACTTATGGAAGTGATCAAATGTTAAATACTTGTGCAAGAAGGCGCATATTTTCCTTGTTCTTTTTTTTTCAAAAATTTCCTGGCCATTAATGTATGTTTATTTTTCACATAAACATTTTCAGTTTGAAAACAAAATTGTTTTAAAATTGACTTTATATTAAATATTGTAGAGCAAATTGATGTCTTTTCATATATTGGGTTTTTCTACTGTGTGGCCATGTGTGTGTTCAAGTATAGGAAAGCAACAGTTGTCTATTTGAGTAAATATGTATAATTTTATAAATGATTAGGATATCTTCATATATCTAATATAGTGACAATTTTAGTTCCTTCTTTGTGATTTGAATAATTTTAATTTCCATAGAACACTATAATAGCGGTGAGACATCTTTCTAATATGTAGCTAACTTCAAAGGGAACCCATGTTTTCTCCGAGGACAATGTTGACGTTTGATAGGTTTCATCCTGTTAAGTAAGGAATTATCTATTTTTTTTAAGTTCAGAATATTTTAAGTCGATGCTAATGCAGTCAAATGTCCTATGTCTAAATTCTTACATGCGTTTTCTTCCTAGGTTATGCCAATATGATGAATAAAGATTTAATTTTAAACAATTTTACCTACAGCTATATTTTACCATGGTGAGCAATGTATTATTTTAATGTGCTGCTGGATGGTTTGCTCCCATGATATTAAGGATTCAGTAATAGTGAGAATAAGAATATATGATTTTCTTACTGGTAATCAATGTGAGTTTGATGATCGCATTAAAATTATCTGCTTTATAAAAATTCGCCCGCGAAGCTTTTATTTCTGATCCTTTGGGGAAGCAGTTTATTGATAACTTTTACGTCTTCAGTTGTTAGTGGTATCTTCGATTTGGTATTTCTTAGGTTGCCTTGGTGTATTAACAAGAAATACATTTTTGCATAGCGTTAAACAAAGCAGTAGCCTTTAGTTTGATCTGCATTTGTGGTTGCAAACACCGCTGGCACCACCGGCCCTGGGGTCCGGACGGAGCGGCGGCGGGGGAAACCGGGAGAGAGCTCGGGATTCCCGGGGCTGGAGGCGGCGGAGGAACCGGAGCCCGAGGAGGGGCCGAGGGCCTCGCGCCTCGCGGGACGGATCGCGTCCTCCGCCTGAGCCCTTCCTGCGCGGAGCTCCGCGGATTCCCACGTTTCAGTCTTTCGGGTTCTGAACGTTTTCAGCCTAACGGGCCCGGGAACCGAAGCCAGCGCCGCGGACCTTGCTCTGCGGCCGGAAGGCTGCAGGCCTGGCCGCCCTTCGCACGCTGCCAAAGCAAATTCAGTAGCAGTTTGAAAGTCCTTGGGCCAGGGATTCAGCTCAGTGGTTCCGCCGCCTGCCTCGCAAGCACAAGGTCCCGAGTCCTTTCCTTGGTACTCCCCCCAAATCCTTGCACCCCCAAATCAATTCCTTTTTTCCCCCAGTATCAGGAACCGAACTCAGGACCTTGTGCTTGCCAGGCAGGCGCAGTGCCGCCGAGCTACACCCCCGGCCCCGGCCCCAGACCAAGACTAAGAAGAATCCACGCCAACAGTTCGGTGCGAGCAGCACACAACCGCGCGCAGTGTCTGCTTCGCTGTCCGGAAAACGGAAACTGCTTGGCTGGGCCGTGCCGCGGGACCCCTCACCTCGGCGCTCTATGCACTGCACGATGACCTCGCCGACCTGTCCCGGCCGACAGCAGAGATCTGCCTGTTACGCGTCCAGCTGGCTGAAATCTGGGAGGCCGCGCGTAAAGACCACGCAGACCGGGCGCCGGCACCGACCCTCGCTGCCCCGCCACCGACCCTCGCTGCCCCGCCACCGACCCTCGCTGCCCCGCCACCGACCCTCGCTGCCCCGCCACCGACCCTCGCTGCCCCGCCGGTTCCTTCCGGTCGGCTCTTCCCTCCACTCCCAGCTCCCGGCGGTCAATTAGGTCAAACCCGCCTTTTCCGGGGTGGAGCTACGAGGCCCGCGTACCGCTGTGTGGTTTCTGGCTCGCTTCGTGCGGTCGCTCCCGAGGTGCGTTCGCCTCGCCTCGGGGTGAGTAGTTTCCCGCTTGCTTGCTCGCTGGCCGCACCATCCCCGCCGGGCCCGCCCTTGCCCGAGTGCGCGAAGTCTCGAGGCCGCGGTCGGGGCGGACGTGTCCACCCCAAGAGTAGAGGGCCTGGCTGGAAAGAAAGGAGGTCTGCTGAACGAAAAGCCGGAGGCCGAACGAAGAGCCACCTGCGCCGCAGTCTCTGCCGCTGGGGACCCGCCCTCCCTCTCCTCGAGGCAGCGCCTAACCCTGGTGACCCCGCTTCTAAGATCGCCTGAACAGCCAACAACGCGACCCATCTCCTTAGACCTCGCTGGGACTCCTCCGACCGAATCCAGAGGGCTCCTCCGCCGGTTTCTCGCTTCTCCGGCTGGATGGCCTTTCCTCCCACTTTGTAGACTCATGAAGCTGATTTTGTCAGACCACAGGTCTTCAGTCCCACATTACCTAACTGCAGACCCCGCTCTACACGGTTGGAGGGAGTAATTCATTTTGGCAGAACCAGAAGGTGCAGGGTGGCCTTTCATGCGGGTGTTGGATGGTGGCAGAAATGTGGCTTTTGAGGGAAAGGAGACTTTAGCCATGCACACAGAATCTAGATTAGTCACATTTTCAAAGGCCAGAAAAGAAAACAAAACTAGAGCAAATAAACCCCAGACAAATCAGGGTCACTTAGTGCTTGTTAAAGTGCAAACAGCTGGTCGCCAGCTCTGAGGCTGCTGTTTTTAGTTTCCCAGTGGCTGGGACCACACTTCTGAGAATCACAGGACAGAGGCATCGTCTGCTTTATCAGAGCCAATGCCTTAACTCTTGTGTCCAATTTCTGACCTTGGATTCACACATTTTAAAATTCTCATTCTCTTAAGACAAACGAATCCTAGTCTCAGGCTAACCTCACCATTAAATCCTGTCCCACAATAAAAATAAAGACGGAGCAGGCTGGGGATTAGCTCAGCTCGATTTGCCTCTGGGTTCGATGCCCAATACCACACACACACACACCACACACGCACACACACACACACACACGCACACGCACAAATACATAACAAATAAATGGAATGTGCTGCTCATTTTCTTCTCTAAAGGTCAGCCAAGTCGCAAGTAGAACCTACACAATTCTGAGTCTGCCTTCCTCGGAAGAAGTCCTTAGTCCTAAGAGGGAATGTTGTATGGATTGCTCTTTTTAGCTCTATCATGTTTCTAAGACAAACACCCTTGTCCCTGTCAAATATGGGGATTCACAGGCAGTAACAGTTGGTTTCAAAGTTAGCAGAGAACTCGCTGCCAGTGGTATGCACCTGTGTCCCAGCTCCGGGGGTGGCCAAGGCAGATCCCTTGAGCCCAGGGGTTGCAGGCCAACATCGTGAGAGCCTGACTCAAAAATAAACAGGTAACAATCTAGCATAAAAAATAGCAGATGAAAACTGCAGCAGAGATAAGGTTAGTCTGAAAATGCCTTAATTAACCTACAAAGTTTGTGACATAATTTTGTGTATAGAATAGTTCCACTGATAAAGATGACTTTATCAGTTCCTTTAAATTGGTTAGGCTTTTATATGGCTCTCACTTGATTCTTCAGCTCTTTGCTTAGTGGGGAATCCCAGTCAATCCAAACTTGGGAGGAGGGAGTGGAAATTTGGCAGGAGATGAAACATGAACCAAATACATCAACTAACGAATTAAGTTCACAGGCGGCTAAGCCTGCTGAGGAAGCAGAGAACAAGAATAGAGGGAATTACTCTGGGTGGAGACTAAGGAATTTACTCAGGAAAAGTTAGGGTTCCACTGTTCGGGACTCCGGGGGGCCAGGGCAAAAGCATCACCTCACCGACGGGGGTGGGATTCGAACCCACGCGTGCAGAGCACAATGGATTAGCAGTCCATCGCCTTAACCACTCGGCCACCTCGTCACACGCGGGCAGCCTCTCTCGCGCTCTTCCTCCCTGCAGGGCTGCAGCTGAGCCAGGCGTCACCAGTGCGTTCCGCGGCCCCGCTCGGGCCACAGCGCGTTCGGAACTTGGGTCCTGGGCGCCAGCTTGGCCGAGACTGGGGACGCCGGGGCTCGGGCGGGGTCCGGTCCCACTGTCCCAGCCGCAAGGCGTGGTTGTGAAGCGCTGTTTTTCTCTCTCACGCGCGTTTTGGGGTGGAGTTCTAGGGGCTGGGCAGTGGGCGCGCTCGGCCACTCCGAGGCCGCTGCATTTAAAGTGCCTTCGGTCTGCACGAAACAAAACAAGAAAACAAAAAAACACCACAGGGGGACTTCAATCCAACACTGAGAGAAACAATCCTGTTTGTTCCTTCCAACCAGGCAAGTTACACTGCAGGTTTCCGTGCCCACCCAGGACCCTCACCGTTCAGCAGCGACTCGGGCAACCTCCTCCGGGCCGTGACCGGTGATTTCTGGGCCAGTTCTGGGAGCAGGGGCCGGGCGTGTCTGCTCCTGAGCCAGACTCCCGAAGCTCCACTGGGGCGCGCTCTCTCCCGCTGCTGCTTGGCCTCCGGGCTACACCAGTGCCAGGTGTAACAGTAGATATTGTTCAATGAACTAATAAAGCATTCTAGATTTAATACAAAATCTAAGCACCAGAATCAAGCTGAAAGATACTTTCAATTAAGCCTCTTGGATTAAATATCTGTTTCTACAGGAAAAAACACCCATAAAGTTGTAATGAGTATTGTTGTGGCTGTGTCTAGACGTCCCCCAAAGCCTCATGTGGTCACAGGTGGGGCTTTTTCAGAGGTGGCTGGGTCTAGAGTGTGCGATGCTGGAACTGATTCGTGGTGCAGTGCTGGCTCAAGGACACTAGGGTTAAGGGTGTGAGTGCTGCCGACGCTGAGCAGCCTGGATCAGGTATAAAGGATAGAAACAGCTGTGGTCGGCCCTTAGTGCTTTTTGCTACCTTCTGTCCACCGTGAACTGTTTCTCCTCCGCAATGACACCCTGCCTTGGAGCCAGCCTAGTTTGGACTGGAACCGCTACAAACTGTGAGCTAAATAAACTTTTCTCTTTTAACTTTGGGTGTCAACGTATTTTGTATCAGGAAGAAAAGTAACTAGGACAAATATTAAATGAGTTAATATTAAAATGCTTAGAAAATGTGTGTAGCAAATTAAGCACTGTGAAAACCACTTGACGTTACTGTAGTTTCTATGACTATACTAATACAATAAATAATAAACTATCAATTAATAATCTGCAGTTCTAGAGCCGGGGATTTAGCTCAGTGGTTCCGCCACCCACCTTGAAAGTGCAAGGACCTGAATTCGATCCCCGGTCCCCCCACCCAAAATCTGCAGTTCTATTCAATAAAATAAAACCTAGTAGAGGAAAGAAAAAGAACCAGGAAAAAAATACCACATATATTCAATCCACAGGGAAGAATCAAATAGTAAATACATTTGGAACTACTTCCTAACTTATGTGTAACAGTGTTAAAGACATGATTATATCACCTGTCTTTTCCTATTCCCACTTTAGATTTCTGCTATCATGCAAGTAAATTGGCTCAATGAAGTTGACAGAAAATTGCATAAGGGCTACTAAAATGTATAAACCTCAAGGCTGGAGATGTAGCTTGGTGGTAGAGCAATTGCCTAGCACACTTGAGGCCCTGGTTCAATCTCTATCACTGCTAAAAAGGGAAAAAGAATGAAAACCCCTTCAGAGAATTATGCTAGAGAATATCTACACTAGAGTGAAATACTCATACCGTGCATCAAAATTTTTAGTAGCTTAACATTAAAATCTCTGAAAGTCCTCCAAAATGGAATACTCCATTATATAAACATATGGTCAGGCAAAACATTATTGTACAACCATTAAAAAGAAAACTGATCTCTATTTATTAACGTTCAAATTTTTCACCATTAAGAGAAAAAGGTAGATTGCAGAACAGTATATATAGTTTGTTTCTGATGATACAGAGAACTTAGATATTTAGTATCAGGGTGGCTTCTTTTAGCTTTAGCCTCAATTTTTTTTTTTTTTTTTTGGTAGCAGGGGTCGAACTCAGGTCCTTGCATTTGCAGGGAAGGTGGCAGAACCACTGAGCTAAATCCCCAGCCCTAGCCTCAATTTTATGAAGGTACTAAACTTAGAGTTTCATGTTATCTTCAAAGGTGTATTGTGGAGGTGTATGTGTATCTGTGTTTATAGTAGACATACAACCACTGTGTATATCTCTAAGAGTTAAATTAAGAGGTTTCAATCCATCTTCATATTTTCTTTTCTTTTTTTCTTTAAAAATGTGTTTATTTTTTTTAAAAATCAGTTGTGGGGCCAGGGATTTAGCTCAGTGGTTTCACCTCCTGCTGTGCAAGCGCAAGGACCCGAGTTCGATCCCCGCTACCAAAAAAAAAAAAAAAACAGTTGTGTACAAAAGTGTTTCATAGTTTTTAATTCTCAAGACAAATACCCAACCCTCCACCCACAGCCCACCCTGCTTCAGTGGTATTTCTGGTAACCCACCCATTTTCCCCTTACAGGAAGTTAATGGCTCAGAATAGACCCTCCTACAGAATTTATCATCACTAACAGACTGTTTAGAGTACAGATCTAAGAAGCTAACAAGCAAGGTTCTTTCTCAGTGAGGTTAATGAGAATCCCTATAATGGCAGTTGACTTCCAGCAGACACCACAACAGAGCACCATCAATTGCTGAAAGCTAAAAAATAGATTATTGTTTTCAATAGGATTTCATTTTCTATTGGAAAATTCTTTAAATAGCATTAAATGAGTCTCTTTTCCCCCAAAGACATAGTCTAGCTTTTATTATGATGCCTGTAAATAGTAGGTTACAGCAAGCAGATAAGGGTCGTTCACAGTACAGTGCATTGACTTCTATCCACTCACGCTCAGACCAAACCAATAAGCTATGCCACATCTGATTATAGATAGCAGCATGGTTGAAATAACCAAGCAAAAGGTGGCATATTCACAACTTACATTTGTAGGTGATGATGCAGGTTTATGAGACTAGATCAGTCCAATAAAGCAGTAACAAAGAAGGACAAAGGAGATAGTAACACTCCCTTACCCCTATGCCACAAGATTTTTTGATCTATATTGCAAATACAATGTGTGACATCATTTGTAGACCCTAAAGAAAGGCACACTTTGTTTGGAAAAAGGCTATTCATCAGTATACTTCAAGTTGCTGTCTTCACAATGTAGCAACCAGCTAATAGTTTCAATTGGTACTAAAGAACAGAAATGCATTGCTTCTAGGCCTTTTGGCTAAGATCAAGTGAAGAACAGAAATGCAACTTTTTTGAATCAAATGGTTTGTACCCTAGAATTGAAATTCCTTGGAACTAGACAAAGTGATTAATACAACATCAGTTTGTAAAAGTCCATGAAATAAAGTTAATTGTAAACAAACAACTTCCTTTTTCATTTCTACGTTTTTTTCCTATGTACAAGAATGGTACACTTGGCTCCCGGCTATTTTCTGCCAGATTCATCTTAAATCTTTAAACCACAACAAAACTTCTTTATTTCCTGTTTCTACATAGAATTAAGAAAACATTACCATACCTCTACCGCAGCGTTTTAAAAGCTCAAATCAGGCATACACTTATAGTCCAGATCTGCTTTTCACATTGGCAAACTTATGAAGCAGCCTAAAGAGTAATGTAATACGCTGCATTCAGTAGTACATACACAAGCAAACTCTAATTGCCAATTCTTTTCTTACAAATACTTTAAAAAAGAACTATTTTGCACAGTTTTAAGTGCCATTAACAATCATAAATGAGAAAAACTTTGAAAAAGACCAAAAGAACTCAATCTTTTTTTCACCTCATAGCTTATTTTTCTCAGAAACAAAATACTCAGATTCCAAACATTTATATATCCTTGGAGGTGTTTTCTGTGTTTACATAAACCATAGTCACAATTCTAAACATTTCAGAGCCAACTCAGAGCATCAAATTTAGTAGCAAGTTCCTCAAATATGCATGTTTGAGTTTGAAACTGCTATTCATTCACTCACTCACTCACTCACTCACTGGTACTGACAGACTGTACAACTAATTGTTTCTTCTTTTAAGTTAGCCACATACTCAGGAAACAGACCTGATTATAATAAAAGCCTATGAAAGTATCAGTGAATTTTAGCAAATCCGCCTGCTCTAAATGGAATTTAATGTTTTTAATCATAATTTTTGAGGGCTCTTAAATTCTAAAACACCACGAATTATAAGGCCAGGGATGCAGCTCAGTGGCACCACACCTGCCTAGTAAATGCAAGGTCCTGAATGCAATCCCCGATACCAAAAAAAAAAAAAAAAATTATTGAAATAACTTTCACCAGGGTACTTTCTCCCTAGGCCTGAACTTTTAGTGTCCTTTTCCCAATCCCCGGTAAAAAAAAAAAAAAAAAATTATTGAAATAACTTTCACCAGGGTACTTTCTCCCTAGGCCTGAACTTTTAGTGTCCTTTTCCCAAACACATATGACACCAGAAGAAAAAAGTAATTGTCTTAGTTTCTATGTTTGGGAAGGTAAATCTATATTGAGAGAGGGGAGAAAAGAAACCAAACAATAGGAGAGTAGAAAATGTACCAGAAAGAAAAAGTATCATCATGTTAAAGGGAAATAAATTTTTATAATGAAAAATTCATTATGCAGAACCTATCAAACTAAATATTGTACTTTCCAATTACCTGGGCACTGGGGCTGAAGTGCAATCAGATGAGTAGATACCTGGCCAAGATTGGGGCAGTGTGCATAAAAATCAAAGCCGGATAGAGCTGCCTCCAAGAGTGGAGTATGTAATCATTTTTTTTTTTTTTTTGGTACAGGGGATCGAACTCGGGTCCTTGCGGTTGTGAGGCAGGTGGTGGAACCACTGAGCTAAATCCCCGGCCCTCATTTTCATATTTTCAAATTTCACTTGCATTTCTAATTTTGATAAACCAGTAACGAAGACAGCATGAAATTTTGCAACTCCTGGAAGACTGATTGATGCAAACACAAAAAATATGCTGACAGGTACATACCAATTATTAACAGCTGGCATCTCTAAGAGTGGGACTATGAAGCCTTTTATTGTCTTCACAAAATTTAATTTTTTTCCTGTATCATGAGTATGTATTACCTAGTAAGTTTAAAAAATAATGATGGATTCAAACAAATTATTTTAAAGAGTAGTCAACAGAGCCTAATACTGCTCAGAAATGAAATGAGATTTAAGAAGTGACCACCTGATTTA